CACGCATTATGTTGGGTGTGTCTGTGAGGGTGCTTTGGACGAGATTAACACTTGAATCAGTAGACTGAGTAAAGACAGCCGTCCCCGGTAGGGGTGGGCCGCAACCAATCAGTTGAAGGTTTCAACAAGACGAAGCCTGATCCTCCTGCCTGACTGCATTTGGACTGAAGTCCTGCCTTTGGACTCAAACTGAAGCGTCAACTTTTCCTGGGTCTGGAGCCTGCAGGGCCTCAGACTGAAACTCCAGCCTTGCCTCTCCTGGGTCTCACAGGCTCAGAATCAGACCGGGGTTCTAGGAGGCTTTTCGATACCTCGTTTTTCCACACACGAAAAATCGGTTGTCAGAAAACCAGGAGGCATTACCGCACTACTAAATCCGAAGGCACAGTTATTCCCATTCTGCAGATGGGGAAACTGAGGCACAGAGAGGCGCAGTGATGGGAACACAAGGACGGGCCCAGGACGTCTGGCCTCCCTCGGCACCCCGGCAAGTGGCACAGGCAGGAAGCCCAGCTGGGACGTGCGCGGCCGTGGGCCTTCCCAGGCTTCCGTGCTCGGCGGACGGCGGACGCCTGGGCCCTCGCAGCCCTGCCCCCCAGCGGCCCGAGGCCGGCGCTGGTTGGAAGTTGCAGGAGCGCGTGTCCTGGGGGCTGAGACCCCGGCCGCTGCTGTGCTCTTCCCTCCCTTCCGGCCTGCGCGATCCCAAGGAGGGTGTGAGAGAAGGGGTTTGCGGCGCTAAGCACGGAAGGAAGACAAGGATAAAAACGTGCGTGTTTGTGTGTAGACGCCTGTGGGACAAGGGCGAACGGCCACGCCAAACCCAGGCGCCCCGGCGACTCTTGGGAGACCCGCGCGGCCGTCGCCTGGAGGACTGGGGTAATCAGGAGGGCCCCCCGGGGACGCCACGCCCCAGTCTAGGCAGCGCAGCCTCGGTTGGATCCGAACCTCTGAACCCGACCTTTTTAAAAAAAATTTTTTTAATGTTTTATTTCTGAGAGAGAGAGACAGTGTGAGCAGGGGAGGGTCAGAGAGAGAGGGAGACACAGAGTGTGAAGCAGCTCCAGGCTGTGAGCCGTCAGCACAGAGCCCGACGCGGGGCTCGAACCCACACACCGCGAGATCATGACCTGAGCCGAAGTCAGATGCTTAACCGACTGAGCCCCCCGGGCGCCCCTGAACCTGACCTTTTTACAGCCTCACTGAGCTCTACTGCCCGTTGTCCCTGGAGGAAGCCCTGACCAGCTCCCCTTGGAGACGAAGGCCCCCTGGTCAGTCGTCAGGGAACAGAGCAGACCCCACACCTCCCCTGCCCGGAGCCCCCAGTTCCCACAGGGACCTGCCCCTGCAGCCGGGCCCCCGGGTGGAGGCCCCCCGGCGGGTCCCCACGCCCGCAGGACATCCCTGCAGCCTGTGCCTCTCCCCGCACTGCTGTCCCCGCCCCCCCCGGGACCAGGTGAGGCGCACAGCCCCCCCTCCCGGCCCCTTCCACCTGCTGGGGGGTCGTGGTCCAGGCTGCGTGTTGAGCAGGATTCCAGGACGGGCACGGTGTCATCCCTGACCAGGGCCACTCACAACCGTCCCCGGGGCCTCGGTCGCTGTCCCAGGACAGTGCTGGGGGCACGCGGTTCGGCTCGCAGGGTAACGACGTGGTGATTTAGTGGCGGCGGCTGTGGTTCCCAGGACGGCCGACCTCAGAGCCCGAGATGACAAGCTGGTGCCGAGGCCCCTTCACCCTCTTCCTGTGCCCGGGAAGGCCGGCAGTGCCCGGGCCGGGCAGCGACAGGCCGCACACCCGCATCCCGTGTGTGTGAGCATGCGCGTGTGCACACACGAGTGTGCGAGCTGTTCACATCCTTGGAGACACGTTCCAGGGACAGGCAGCACATCCACATCCCGTTTGTGTGAGTGTGGGCACGCGCACGTGCATACATGAGTGTGTGAGCTGTTCACATCCTTGAAGATACATTCCAGGGACAGGCAGCACATCCACATCCCGTGTGTGTGAGTGTGGGCACGCGCACGTGGACACACAAGTGTGCGAGCTGTTCACATCCTTGGAGACACGTTCCAGGGACAGACAGCACATCCGCATCCCGTGTGTGAGCGTGAGCACGCGCGTGTGCACACGCGAGTGTGTGAGCATGCAAGCAGGGGCATAGCTACACCCGCACACATTAGAGTATGTGCATGCAAGCACCTGTGACTGTGCACACACACAGACAAGAGTGTGAGTGTGCAAGCACGGGAGCACCTGTAGTATACACACACTCCCGAGTGTGAGCAGGTGTGGATGTGTGAGCAAGTGTGCACATGTGAGCATGGGTGTGTGTGCCCGTGAGTGAGTGGGAACACATCCCTGTGAGTGTGAATGTGTCTGTCCGCACACGTGGATGAGTGTGTGTGTGTGTGCGTGTGCTTGTGTGAATGAGGGTCACAGCGCACTAGCCACCCCCTTAGATCCCTAGTTCTTGGACACTGCACTGGGCAAGATGCTGGGATTTTCCTCACTGAGGCCCCGCCTGGGGACAGGGAGCCTGGGGGGGGGTCTTAGCTGGACAGACATGTGACCGGACGCTTCTTGAAGTGACGCACGCGGCATCCTGGAGACGTCCCGCTCCCCGCCACGTTACAGCGCAGGGCCGTTTTCTCCCCAGAGCATTTACATGGACAAGGAAAACGTGGAAAAAGCCTGTGGCCGCCTGCAGAAAAGTATGCATAAATAATCGCTGGAAGGAAATACCTCACTGGGGACGGAGTGACAACGGCGCGCATCGGTTTCTCCTGGTGCTTGTAAGGGGAGGAGGCTGAGGGAAGACCAAGCTGGGGCCAGATGGTCACGTCTGAGCCTTTCGTAGAATCTGATGAGTTTTAGTATAAGGGGAAAGCATGTTATGACAACGCATCATAGACTATTCTGAATTAGCATGAGGTGCTCAGCTGGAAAAATGTCTTGACCTTGCTCTGCTCTCTGGGGGCCTCTGGTCGGGTGTTCTCTTCGTCGGCCAGACAGGGAGTGGTGTGCGAAGAACTTGGGCTTCAGGGTTGAATCTCCCAGTCACCAGCTGTGTGGCCCCTCCGATCCTCAGTTTCTTTATCTGTGCAATGGGAGCAAGGGATCAACTTCCCCGAGTAGTTCTGAAGATGAGAGAAGTCAGCGCACAGGACCACAGTCAGGTTTTAGAGAGTAAGACTATCTGCGATCGCACCTCCATGTTTTACAGAAGCACCCATACGTTACAGTAGCAGAAGCTCTAAGAAATAACAGAATATTCGATACAGATTCATCTCATATTTTTAAGTGTTCAGGTTTATCAAAATTACAGTACTTTTTCTATTTATTGTTAGTGCCGATTAAATTCCCTTTTCTTGACTATTACATTAGAGCTTTAAAATGTACTCTTTTCTGGGACGCCTGGGTGGCTCAGTCGGTTGAGTGTCCGACTTCGGCTCAGGTCATGATCTCACTGTGAGTTCAAGCCCCGCATGGGGCTCTGTGCTGACAGCTCAGAGCCTGGAGCTGCTTCCGATTCTGTGTCTCCCTCTCTCTCTGCCCCTCCCCCGCTCATGCTCTGTCTCTCTCTCAGAAAGAAATAAAACATTTTTAAAAATTAAAAAAATAAACATTAAAAAATTTTTAAATTAAAAAATGTATTCTTTCTGTATTGAAACTTTTGTTTTTGTGAAATGCCAGCACAGTTTCTGAGTCATTGGTGACTCCTGGCTTTCTGCAGTGGGCACTGCCTTCCAAGACCCGCGTGCTGAGCACACACAACCCACCCCCCCCCCCCCCCCACTGCGTGATGGTCTCCAGATCCCTTTTGCTGTTGTTGTTTTCTTGTCCTGGAATCTGTCCTTTCACCACTAACCACGCGAATGCCGCCGTTAATCACCGTAGCGGTTAATCTACCGAGGATAGAAGGCATGGCAACGGTGCTGTGGGAGTCAGGCTGGAAGGCCCCTTTCTGGAAGGCCTGCTCTGCAGCAAGAGCACGAGGGAATAAGACGTCTCACCCCTACAGCCCAGGGTTGCCTTCTCTGAGGTTCCTCTCGGCAGAACCAGCGAGATCTTCTCCTGACGTTAATGCGCTCCAGCCTCAGTGCCCACCGAGCGGCGGAAGACACCCCGACGGACGACGGGGAAGGCACCGCCCACAGGAAGTATCTGGGATGAAATTTACATACCAGGTGCACCCGCTGGGCATGGCGGCCACGGAAACAAAACCGCCCCAGCAGCCGCTGCGTTTTTCCTTCATCCCCGTGGCTCGCTGTGCATTGCACTGTGTTCACAGAAGCGTACGGAACTGTCGCCTCACGGAGATGGACGGGGCGGGGGGGACGTTGTGATGTGACTTCCTCCACCATCAGGGCGAGCTGCCCCGGTCTGTGTGATGTCGCGACTGGGCGCTCGGTAGTAACGCACGTTCCCATTCTCCGCGGTGGCCCACTTCGATGCTTTTCCACGTTCAATGTTGGCCAGGGACCCACGTCTGAGACGGCCGCTTCCGGGCCCTCGGATCGACCCTCAGAAGAGGTCGCTGGGTCACGGCGTTTGGACAGGTCTGGGGCTTTGATCTGCATTGCCCGACTGTGTGAGGGAGGCTTTTCTGACCTGATGTGCCACTTTGATTTGACGCTCTTTTCTCCCGCCGGCGTGCGACGATAAGGTAAGAGAATACGCTGAGCCCGATGGAGGGAGTCAGATTTGGGTCTGAAATGTGTTTTCTGCGTAACAACGAGATGGGACCTAGCGATGCCGCCTGGGGGTTGGGTGCTCACCTTTCCCGAAAGATGCTATCTGGCTGCAGCGAGGATGGGCCGTGCCACGCGGGCTCCCCAGGGACACGGCCGAGCCGGTGCAGGTGTGAACGAGCAGGCATAAGGGACTGTTCCCTCGGAGCACAGTCTCTGAGGCCATCGCCACCGCCAGCAGCACTGGGAACAGAAGGGCCCTTTCTCCAGGCCCCGGAGGCCGGACCCCTTTGTGTGACTGCTCAGGAGACATGCTCAGGACCGTGGGGCTGGCCCTGCTGGCTCTGCTCAGCGCAGTGGGCCCGACCCAGGCCAGCGGCTTCACAGGTGAGGGCTCCGGGCTCGGCATGGGGGTGGCTGGGGGGTGGCGGCTCCCAGAGGTGGGTCTCCCGAAGGATGGTGGCAGCCCCTCAAAGATGCACCCGCTTTGAGAGGTGCCTTCTATTCCGTCTTGCCAAACACAGACCACAAAAGGGGCTGTGTGTGTGTGCCCCTGAGGCAGCCGGGGGTTGGTGGTGTTCAAATGCAGATTTGAGGCAGCGGGTCTGGGGACGGAGCATTTCTGCAGATGGAGACGACACGCAGGTCCGTAGGCCACCCTGACGGGTGTGTTCCTGGAGACTCGGAATCGAAGTCTCCCGAGCCTTGGGGGGTTGGAGTCCTTACTGTCAGGTAAACAGAGGGAGACCCAGAGTGGTCAGGACACACCGAAGCCCAGCCCAGCTGGCAGTGAGCTGGATTTCCACCAGGGCAGCCTTTGCCACGGGCCCTGGCTCGAATCTTCTTCCCCTGGCAGCCAGGCTCGGGCTTGAGAAGTGGGCTCTCACCGCCAGGTCCCTCCATCTGGGCTCTGCCAGCCCGAGTTTCCCCCTCGGTGCACAAGGGTGACAAGTGTCCGGCAGGCCAGCGAGAAAGCCAGTGAGGGCACCTGCCCAAAGCCTTTGCCAGGCACACGTTCCTGCTCGAGGCAGATCAGGTTTCTGAAGCCCCGGATTTTGGAGCATTGGGATTGCCAACCTTTGAAATCATTTCCTTTAGAAAATCTGTCTTACTCAGCTGGGACTTCAAACAGATCCACAATCAACTGTGGTGTCAGCACTGGTTTAAAGTTTGTCCAGCCACGTGCAGGATTTGGTTTGCGATTTCTTTCCCTGACTTTCCCTGCAGAACAGTAGCGTGTGAAGCCTACAGCTCAGTCGGGGAAAGAACGGGGGGCTGGAGAAGCTGGAGATGTCAGGAGGGGCTTCACGGACCCCTCCCCCACTGTGCCTGCGGGGACCCCGGGGTGGGGGGGGTAGGAGGCACAGGCTCAGTGGCACATCAGGTCCTCTCCGTCACCTCCCCTCATGTGCCAGGTGTTACAGGCGAAGTTCCGCTTACTCACTTCTGGGGGTGCAGTTAGTATTTGGCGGACGATGGGCAGGGGCCACTGGGAGGGAGTGGAATGAGCTCAGAGCCACATGGCTGGTATGCAGGGAAGCAGGTGCGAATGGGGATTTTCGGACCTCAGGACGACACTCACTCGGCAGCGATAAGATTTCCCGCCTCTGAAACTAGAACCCGGGACTGCGGACTCCCACGCCGGAGGCTCCTGGGAGAATTTGTAGATCAGGGGGGTTTGCTCCAGGTCATCTCCTCTGGGCTCTGCTTGAGGACCTGGTGGCCTCTGGGAACAGGCAAAGAACAAAACAGCAAAGAGATTCCCAAATGCACTTTCGGGGGCAGTGTGTGTGTGTGTGTGTGTGTGTGTGTGCGCGCGCACGCCTGTGCTTACACTGTCGCATGCAGGAAGGCTCTGCAGAAGCTCAGCTGGGACCTTGTCACGATCAGATGGGGACAGTGGCTGTCCAGAGGCTGGGGACATGTTACCTTCGTTAGTGGTTGGCATCTCCTCTTAGGTTTAAGATGCAAAACAAAATCTAGAGTCACCTTGCCAAATTCTCGGAGCAGGAAGCCTGCTTGGCACTGTCACTCGGTGAGTGGCCACTTCTCCAGTCCCTCATCCAAGTGGCATCCAAGCTCAGGGACGTCACCTGGCCCGGGAAGCTGGTTTCGGCTGCCCAACCCCAGGTATGGGGGCCTCCCCCTTCCTCTCCAAAGTGCGCTGTAACCCTTCCCTTCGGGGAGGAGCGGCAGCAGGCAGTGTCCTTTCCCAGGGGCCCTGAGACCCGCAGTGCCGCTCGGCTCATGTGGTTTCGGAGCCGGCTCACCCTGGACGCTGGGATTCAGACCGTGTTCTGCCCAGAGTCAGGCTGCAGGCTCGCTCATCAGCCTGAGCTGGACGGCTGGCCTGGCCCCGTTCCTCCCCGGGGGCCAGCAGCCCCGGAGCTTGCTTTCTGCACGCCCGTGGGATGCTGTGAGGCCAAAGGAGGGCGTCTTCTGGGCGCTGTCCTCGTGTTGCTGATGCAGATTCTATCTGCTGCCATCTCGAAGCTGCTCCCAGAAGCCCAGCTCCAGAGTGCAGAGCCCCAGGCTGGCTGCCAGGCGCTACCCCCCTGGGGCTGCCCGACAAAGCGCCCCAGCAGAGTCTCACACAGCAGTGATTGATTCCCTCCCTGCTGTGGAGGCCAGGAGTCGGACATCAAGGCGTGAGCAGGGCTGGTTTCTCCCGAGGCGGTGACGGGGAATCTGTTCCCTCCCCTCCTCCGGCTCCCAGGGTTTGCTGGAGGCCCCGGCACCGCGTGCTCGGTATAGGGATCACTCGGATCTCAGCCTGCACCCCCACCTGGCACCCTCCCCCTGCGTGCGTGTCTGTCTCTGTGTCCACATTTCCTCTTTTGTGAGGACCCCCGTCACAATGGATTGGGGCCACCCTACTGCAGTATAATCTCCTCTTAACTAAATATATCTGCCCAAACCTATTTCTGGAACTTCAGCACATGAATTTTTGGAAGGGTGGATGGGGATGCAATTCAGCCCATAGCAAATCCTGCCACCACAGAGGCTCCGTGGGCACGTGGGACACCCCATGGCCCAGGCTGGGGAAGGTGGGGGTGCCTGAAGGTCTTGAGAAGGCCATGATCGTGCTGATGGAGGGATGGGGGCCGTGAGGGTCTATGCACAGCCAGGGGACTCCAGGCGAGAAACACAGAGACCCACGCGGCAGATGGATGTCACCCTGGGTGGGGGACTGTGTTCTCACCTCCGATGACAGCAGTCCTCGTGGGACTGAGCTAATTTGCCACCGGTGAACTTCTCACATGTGCTTGAAGCATCGTCTATTTACCCGTCAGCCCCATTCTCACCGCATTGCCATCTGAGCCCGGCGCGGAGTGGCCCTCTGTGCATATTTACTCCACGTCTTCCGTGTGTCGTCAGCCCCTGGGCTGCAGGAAACATGGATCAGACCTGGGGGCATCTCCGGGCTCCTCGAGGGGACTTCTGAGCGTGCAGACCCCCCTGCCCACCCTTATGCTTCATTCCTCCCGGTTCACATGACTGCCAGGCTGGGCTGGCGGGCAGCCTCCGGGGCTCTGCGGGGGCCGAGGTCTTGTTTCCCTGGCTCTTGCAGAAGCGGAGGGTGTGTCCAGAACCTAGGGATTTGATTCTGGCGTTTTCTTCTCTGTTGTCTCCTCCATCCCTGCCCCCCACCCCCGCCCCCCGTAGAAAACGGACTTTCCTTGCTGAGTTTCCAGCTGTGCAACTACAGCATGACTCGAAACGTCCAGAAGGTGGAGGCTGTGCACACATCGCACGTGACCTACGCTCCCTGCGGCGGGTGGGTCCCGTGGAGGAGGTGCCCCAAGACCGTGTACAGAACTCACTACCTGGCCGTGGACGTCCCGGAGCCCAGGAACGTGACCGACTGCTGTCGGGGTTATGAGCAGCTGGGCCTCTACTGCGTCCTGCGTGAGTCCAGGATGGCTGGGTGGGTGGAGGGGAACAGCGTGGGAGGGGGGCGGGCGACTCCTGATGAGACCCGGGACGGGCACTGTGCACACCATCAGCCCTGAACTTACAGGGTCCTTCTGGAACTATGGTCCCCAAGCCGGAGCGTGCATCAGGATTGTCCAGAGGGCTTGTCCTCCCCCAGATTTTGAACCAGTGTGTCGGGGTGAAGTACAAGTTCCCAGGTGGTGCCGATGCTCCCTGGGGACCCCAATTAGAGACCCTCTGCTTTGGCGCACTGGCTCTCAGTCCCGCTGTATGTTGAAGGCCCTTGGGCAGCTTTAGAAACGCCAATGGCTGGGTCCCGTCCTCAGAGACTGTTACAGAGTCCGGCTGGGGCATTGCTGGGACGTTGGGATTTCTTTTTAAAGCACTCAAGCTTTGAACACATAGCTGAGTTTGAGAACCATCCCTACAAATCTCTTCTATACTGACAACCAAGCTTTTCAAAAATTTTTTCATGTTTATTTATTTTTGAGATAGAGAGAGATAGAGACAGAGCATGAGTGGGGGAGGGTCAGAGAGAGAGGGAGACACAGAATCTGAAGCAGCTCCAGGCTCTGAGCTGTCTGCACACAGCCCGATGCGGGGCTCGAACCCACTGACCGCGAGATCATGACCTGAGCTGAAGTCGGAAGCTTAACCAACTGAGCTGCCCAGGCGCCCCTCCCCCACTTTTTAAAAAATTTTGTTTTTGAGAGAGAGAGCAATCTTCTCTTTTTAAAAGTTGTAGTGGAATGCTTTCTTCAACTGAAATTCTAATCTGAGCCCCCATGTGTGAGACAGAAAAGTCCCCTCGCCCCCACCCACACCACCCGGGGCCCCCAAGTCCTCCTCCTTCCTCAGGGCCTTTGGAAGATGATTGGGGCAGTTACCAGGGTGAGCAGTGCGGCTGTGCCCTGCCAGTGTCTGAGTCCTCTTGACATGGACAGAACGTTCCGGAAGACCTCTTCCAGGGGAAAGGATGCAGGCGTGTGCGTGTGGGTGGTGGTGGCTGCTACATTTGAGTAATTACCGGATCTAAATGAGTTTCTGAGCCTCACAAGGCCTCCCCGCCCCACCCAGTCAGAGAGAGGAAGTAGGAAGGATGTGGCTGTAGTGAGTGTTGGGGGGCCACCCTGAGATATGAGGACTGCAGCCTCCTGCGTGCACACGGCAGCACTCCGGGGGTCTGGGAGGGGCATCCCACGTGACCACCCCTGGGGGCCCATGGCCAGCACGGCAGGGGGCTGGGGGCTGGACGCTGCACCCGGGGGCGCCAGCCCCTCCCCTCACAGGGGCTGTGGGGCATGGTTGGTGCAGCCCTTCCAGAACGCTGCATGGGCTTGGCTCCCTGAGTCATTGCGAGCATGCCGCTCTCAGGTGGCCCGAAGCGACCTCACAGGCAAGGCTGCCACCAATATAAACCAGGGGCTGGATCTGAGGAGCCCCTTCCTGTGCAGACACCGGCCCCTTTCCCGCTCTCCGTGTCTCCAAGGGCCACGTGCCCGAAGGGAGCTCTGCGGGGAGCAGCTCTCTCCCTGGGGGTGGGGGTGGGGACCCAGTGTTGGCACCTTGGCACAGAGGGTCGGGACCTGGTTAGGTGGCAGGTGAAGGTCACACTCTTCCCACCTGCTTGCTGTTGTAAGATCACTCGACTAGTGAGGTCACCTGTCCAGGGAGCCAGAGGAGCCCCCCGAGAGCCTCAGCCCCACCAGCCCCCTCCCACTGACTGGTGGTGTTCTGTGCAGCTGCTGCCCTGCTAGGACAGGGAGGGCCGGCGTCCCCTCCCTGCCACCTGCTGTTCATCTTGCTTGCCTTCAACAAGCCAGCCCCCCCCCCCGGAAATGCCTCTCGTGGGACATCAACCCCACTTTTGGAGTCTTGGAGCCTTTAATTAGGAGCTCACCAGGTGTGGAGAGGGCCAGAACATTCTAGTTAGAGAGTCCCACGGGCAGGGCTCTCTGGGGAGCTGGAGGTAATGGTGTGGCTGGTGTAGGGAGGTGAGGCTGTGGCGGGGGACAGTCTGGGATGAGACGAGGTTGACCAGCAAACCCTGGGGCGGCGGCTGACAGAGCGCTCCAGACCCCTGAGTCAGAGACAGGACAGGGCGAGGGGGCCGGAACTCCAGTGGGGACGGCCCCAGCCAAGCTCTTCTCCAGCTTTTACTGAGAATCTTATCCACACATTTCAAGGGTGCAGGGGAAGGGGACGCGCAGTTTCTAAAGCAGGGACAAAGCACACTCCTGGCTGATCAGAGGGAGCAGCACTATCAGGGTAGGGACGTGCAGGCAGGTGCGAGGGGCGTGTCGGGGGCGGGGGGGGGCACATCACCGGAAGGGGGCGGTCTCACTACTTCCCATGAAACATTTAGAGAGCGAGGAACATGTTGATCCACAGGCAAGGGCCGGCGGAGTCCAGCCTTGACCTTCCAAAGGGGGCCCGGTTTTCCTGGTCTGCTTTGCTGCTTCTGAACCGGCCGTTTCCCAGGCTGCAAACATTCCTGCCTTCGGTCTTAGCCTGCCAGGCTCTGGGAGCCTCCAGGACCCCCCGGAGGGTGGAGGCCCCTCAGAGGTGGCTGAGTGCGGTTGGGGTCCCCCTGGGCCTTCGAAGGTCATTCCAGCAGCAGCGTGGAGAGGAGGCCGACAGGAGCCTGCAAGGAAGGAGAAGGGGAGGGAAAGGGGTCTTCACTGAGTATGTCCTTTAGGACAGGCCAGGCGGGCACAGGCTGGTCACCGGTGGCCAGGAGCATCGCCTTTACGTAGATGGAGGCGCAGGCACGGGAGGCAGGTGACTTGACGGAGGTGGCGTGGACTCGGGCCTGGGGCTCCCCAGCCGCCGTTAGATTTGAGGAAGGGGCCGTGGTGGGGAGGGCGGAGAGCCAAGGTGGCAGGTGCAGGGGCCGGGCACTGAGCGCGGGCCTCTTCCCCAGGAAGGGGTGGGGCCAGGCCTGGGGCAACCCGGCGGCTGCCTGTGGCGGCAACCACTTCTCAACGCTTGCTCGGCTCCTTGGATCGAAGCTGGTTCAGAGATGCCTGGTGACAGGCTGGCTCTTGCACAAGCCTGTGGTAGCCACGGGGGAGCAGCCTGGAGGGCACAAGGTACCTCCTCCGAGTGTGTGTGGGGGGAAGACTTGTGTCTTTGCAAAGAGCTGGGAGTCCTACCCCCCAGGCAGCAGTGAAACCTCAGACCTGCCTTCTGTCCCCTCTTACTCGGCCACCGGCCGTCTGGAAAGGAAGGCCATTATAAGCGCCCAGGCTGTGTTCCCTTCAGTCTAGATGACTTGTTCCGTTATTTCTTTAAGTCCGGCACTGGAGAAGCAACAATCCGTCATACGTTACTTACAGGTAATTGTTAATACAATGACGATGGCGAATGCAAGAGCCATGCAGACGATCTGGGAACAGGAAAGAAGGAAGAGAAATTAGCGTACACCCAGGGCTCACAGACGGCCACTGTCAATATCCTCTTGGAGCCTTCATTCAGGGCAGGCCTTCTAGAAAAGCATGGCCACCCTGGCTGAGATTTTTCCTACCGCGCTCTTACCACTTAGCAATGTATCTGGAGCGCCTGTTCTGTCAATAGATGCTACGCTCAGCATGATTTAATGGCCACGTGGCATGGCCTCATGTGGACGGATGTATCAGCATTTACTAAGCAAGCCCCTACCGCTTACAGTCTCGTCTCCAACTCCTCATTATAAAGAGCGCCGTGATGAGTATCATATGGTAGAGACACTGCCGGGTACGGCTGCATGATTCACTCATGATGAATTCCTGGGAGCGTCTCCGCCGATGCCCGCCAACTGCGGACACGGTCTCGGTTCCCGCAGGCTCATGGGAAGTCCCAGGACCCCGAGGGGCCAGTAGCCTCCCCATGCTGATGGCCAGGAAGGACCCCTTTGGGGCAGGAGGTCTCTGAGCAAGGAGGCCGGGCGGGACATCTATTCCGGAGCCGGTCGGACTCCCAGCCCTGGGGGGAACTTCAGTGTGGATGGAAAGCTCCGGCTGCCTCGCTGAGCTGACTAACCCTGGGTTGCCAGGCACTGGGCAGCCCTGTTCCATTGTTTGTGTTGAGTTAGTGGAAGGAGAAGCAGATTTTTGGCTTTGCACCAAGTTGGAATTGTTGACTGTTCTCCTGGGCTCTCAGTAAGCGGTCCGGCTCTGAGGACGGACGGGGAGCGCCAGCAGCGTCCCGTCTGAGATGAACTTCAACTTGAAATCACTTCTATTGAGATCAGGCAGCCATTTTTGGAAGCCAGTTTTTCTTGGGGGCCCCCATTGTCCTTCCATTTAAACAAGCCTCTTAGTGTAGCATAGTTGCAGATTTACAGAGAGATGGAAGACAGGGCACAGACCCCATACCGTCTCCCCGGCTTCGCTGATGGTAGCGTCTTCCGTTACCATGGTGCATTTGTCCCAGCGGAGGAATCGACATTGAACTAATCGCTGTTAGTTCAAACTCACACTCTATTTGGATTTTGCTTTAAAAAAATTGTTGTAATGTTATTTATTTTTGGGAGAGAAAGAGACAGACAGCACAAGCCAGGGAGGGGCAAAGAGAGAGAGAGAGAGGGCGACACAGGATCTGAAGCAACTTCCAGACTCTGAGCTGTCAGCACAGAGCCTGATGCGGGGCTCGAACTCACGAACCGCAAGATCATGACCTGAGCCGAAGTTGGATGCTTAACCGACTGAGCCCCCAGGCGCCCCAGGTTTTGCTTTTTAACCTAATGTCATTTTTTTCTGTCCCAGGAGCCCATGTTACATTTAATCTCATGTCTCCTTAGCCTTGAGAGCATTAGTTTTTACGATGGGAGCGAAAGCAATGAACTTGAGGTCCTTGAATAGCGGCCCTACTGGGATGCTGGTATTTCTACAGCAGTGAGGACCACAGGCCGCACCGCACGCCCCACTCTCCTTCTCTCCAAAGCCAGACCCAACGAAGCAATGTCTCCAGGGGTTTAGATCACAGCTGCCCTGGGTGACGCGCTCCCACGCAAGGAGGGGCCGCCACCTTCTTTCTGTGTGTGGAACATTCTGCAGAGACCACGGGGGAATCTGAGGGCTGTCCTTGGGACCTTGACCCCTCTGGCTTCCCTTCCACATATGACCCCCCCACGTCTCCCAGGGGCGAACCTTCCCCTTTGCAGAGCATGGTTACCTGCTGGCCTTTTCTGCTTTCCTTGGGGTCTGGTGCGCCGGGAACTGCACTTCCAAAGACCTGGTACGGTGCAGGGCGTTAGGTGAATCTGGGCAGAGACAGGTGGGTTTGTGTGACACCAGGGTGGCTGGAGCCCTCACCCCTCGGGGTGGGCGACAGGAGGGCTGTGATCACAGGCTCTTCGGACACCTGCGCTGGGTCGCACCTTCCCTGGGCCCCTCCCTGTTGCCCCAGCCTCCTTGATCTCTCAACTACTGGGCCCCCTTCGTCCCCCGCTGGCCCGAGCCCAGCTGTCCCTCAGGCGTGCAGCCCTGCGGCCTGTGGGGGGTGCCGCCACGGGAGTGTCCCCAGCACAGCGCCTCCCTTGAGGGCAGCGCCCTGGCTCCCCTGGGGTCAGGCTCCTCTCCCTGCCCTTGAACTTTCTATCAGCCCAAGCACCAGCACCTTGACTCCTGGTCAGTTCCCTTGAGCCCACAGATTCTCCGGTAGTTTCACCAGGTCTCAATCTTCAAAAGCGCAGCGTGTCTCCTCTACTCCTGGGCTGAGTTTCTATAGGTCAATGTGCATACTGACATGCCTAGTATATAGCAGTTGCTTAATAAACATTGAGTGGGTGAGTGAGCTGCTGGGATGCAGCACAGCAAGGGGGCCTCTAGAGGGGCAGGGGAGCCTCTGCACTTGGCCTAGAAGGACAGAGACACCCCGGATGGCCGCTGACACCGTCTCCTTCTGGGAATGATTGGTGAGACTTTGTCAAAGTCAGAGCAAGCAGCCCTCGGTGGTGGCTCTGTGGGATGTGGTGAGGCCTGTCCAGCCCGGGACACGGCGCTCGAGCAGGTCACACTGCGTGTCCCTGGGAACCATGGGTGGCATCCAGTGCCGGGAATGCCCGATGCAGTGCCTGCTGCCGACACCACTGACTGCCGATCTCTTTCCCTCCAGCCCTGAATCGGTCCAAGGAGTTTGCCTCGAGGCCCGGGGCCTGCCCGGCGGTGGGGCCGGAAGCACCTGCCTCCCCGTGCACACTCGACACAGACTGCCCTGGGCTCCAGAAGTGCTGCCTCTCCTCCCAGGGCCCCCACTGCGTGGCTCCCGCTCCCCGAGGTAGGGTCGAAGCTCCGGGCAGGGGGACGCTTGGGCGGCGTGGGTTTCTAGAAGCCGCAGCTCCGGTTTCACCGAGAGCCTGTGGCCACGTGCCTGGGGCACATTCCACTCCTGGGCATTGTCTTTGTCCAAATCTGGCTGCTGAAATCTCAGGAGAGGAGAGCTCACAGGTGCCCCGGGGCGGATTCCCGGAGGGGCAGTGACCCCGATCTCCAGAGTGTGGCCCAGGAAAGCCCTGGGTGGGAGGGGGTTGGGGTGGTGCTTGCGGGTAGCTGGGCTGTGTCACAGTGCGGAGACCTGAAGCTGGTGGCGGGCGGCTCCCGTAGCACCATGGGGACTGAGGACATTGTCAGAGCACTGGTTAGGTGCATGTGTGGCCTGGCCTTCAGGACACACCTATCGGGTCTGGAAAGCTCTGCTCTTGACCGTAGGCTGCCCCCAGGGGAACAGGCTGGTCAAGGTTCAGAACTAGGGAAATATATATAAATAGTGTATAGGAGTCATATGCAATGTATGTCACAATGTAGTATCAGTAGAGTATATACTATATTCGTGTGGTATGAAGTCATAGGATACATAATGTAAACGATTATCAGTATGTATCAATTATACTACTACACTGTATACATGAGGTTATATATTATATGTAATACAGCTTTATCCAGTGCACGTTGTATATAGTAATATACTCTATAGTATATGCAGGATTACATATAACATAAGAGAAGTGAGCGTAGTGGGTGGGGCAGGGGCCCACGCTGTCCCTGGTGGCAGATTTCTTTCTCCGGGGCTCTGCTGGACCCAGCCCATCCCAGGCCTGCGGCTCACTGACACATGTCCTCGCGCAGCTCCAGAGAGGGACCCGGTGACCTTCTGGTACGAAGTGACCGTCCTGGTGAAAATGGCCTTCAAGGAACTGGGGGAGGTAGACCCCAGGCTGCTGAATCACATGCGGCTTCTGTACTCCATGGTAGGTGCGGGCACAGAGAGCCTGGCCGGGGCTCCCTTCCAGGGCAGGCTGCCCGGGGCCGACGCTGGTGGAGGCACTGGGTGGGAACCGAGGGGCGAGGAGGGTCCCGCAGGGGACCGCGGGGACCAAATGTGAATTCTTAGTCGAATTAATTGAACAAGAGCAGCTTTGAAGAGGGATGAACTGTGGGCAGTGCAGTGGGCATCGTTTGGAAGCTACCCCCTCAGCGTGCAGAGATGGAGCCCTTAATCATTGCTGGTCTGTTACTTAGCTACAAGGGTGCTGCAGTGTAGACAGCCTGGGCCCCGGAGCCGACCCTCACGGCCCTCACTCGAGCTCCGTGAGGCTCTAGCTTCCACCCTTGGCTTCGCATCAGGGAAGGCATCCGGGGAAGTGCTGGACGCTCCCACTTGGGCGCTCCCACTTGGGCGCTATCGAAGTTTGGGGTCGGTTGACTTTTCACTGTGGGGCTTCCAGCCATTGTCAACAGAATCACGGCCTCTGCGCACAAGAAGCCAGAAACACGGCTGGCTGTGACAGCCAAAATGTCTAGATGTGGCTGCCTGTCCCCCGGGGGGCAACACGGCTCCTGGAGGAGGCACCCGTGCAGACACAGACCGTGTGTCCTGACGCCAGCAGGGCCTCCTCGCCACTGGGTGGCTCTCCCAGGTGATGGGCTGAGCTCAGCGCCGGCTTCCTGGGCCAGTGACCCGTGCAGTCACCCCGTGAATAGAAGAGCCCCACCCTTGGCTTCATGCTCAGCCGTTGCCTCTTGAGATGTCTAATGACTTTTGAGCACGAACTCTCCCACCCCCCATGCCTTGTGCACTGAGCCCTGAACATGATGGTTTGGTCCCGCCCCTCCGGGTGGGGGGGCCCGCCGGTGTTCCCCACCTGTGGCTGAGAGTCGCGGTGTCCATCTCAGAGCTGAGTCCCTCGTTGGGGTCTAGACCCGCTGGCAGAGGCGGCCCCAGGGCAGAGGGCGCTCACACTCTGCTTGTTTCGGGTCCTTGAGCAATGTGGCTGGACAGGTGTTCCAAACTGTCACCTTCACCTGGAAACCTCCTTACCTGTCCCAACCGGAAGTGAGTTTGTCTCTTGTTGGCTTGTCGAGGGGCTGGGCTGTCTCAAAACATGGCTCCAAAGCCAGACTTCCTGGCAAAGCCCAACACTGTCCTCCACACTGTGCGACCCGGGGCGAGTTACTTGACCTCTCTGTGCCTCAGATACCTCCACTAAATAGGAATAATCATAATCCCACCTGAGACCGTGGCTGTGAGGTTTAAAAAGCACCCGCACGGAGCTTGCTGTGGTGCGGACGACGCAGCTGTGCGCTGTGGTTGCTGGTGTTTGAGGCACTGCTGTCCCGAGAGCCACCCCTTTTCTCTGACAGTGGGTGTTGCCCTTCCAGGCGCACTGTTCCCGCCTGCAGGGCCCTGCCTCCCATGGGCTCCCGGCTGCGGCCGGCACTGGGCTCCCTGATGCAGGGACTCTCACGAGTCCTGCGCCCGGTCCCGCCTCCCCCGTTATGAGCTGTGTCCCCTCCCATCCCCATGAGGGGGTTTCCAGTCTGCCGGGACCCGGCTCTAGCGCCCCCTGAACTGTCCCTCTGCGTCCCCGCGGGGACCTGGGCTGTGTTGGCAAAGGCTCCTCCAGGCGGTCCCGCCGATGGCCTGGCTTCCCAGGGTCCACGCTGACCTGGGGCCTGGGGACTGCGATTTCTGTCTACCTCTGATTCCGTACCTAATTTGGGGCACGGTGGGACTGGAGTCCCGGGGCCACTGTGTCCCCTGGGGCGGCTGTGACACAGCACCGTGGGCGGGGGGGGGCCACGCAGCACACGCTTCTCCCCGCCGGCTCTGGAGGCCGGGAGGCCGGCACGGAGGTGAGGCCACGGTCTGTCTCAGACCCCTCTCTCCCGGGTCTGCAGAGCCCCCTCTGTGTCCCCTCTGTGACCGGCCGAATGGGACCAAGGGCCACCATAACTCCCTCATCATAACTAATTGCATCTGCATTAGTCGACCACATACGGTCACATTCTGAGGTTCTGGGGTTCGGACTTCCACACGGGGGTTTTTTGAAGGGGACGCGATTCGAGCCATGACAACTGTGTTGTGTATTTAGGACCTGGTTTGCAGGACGTCTACTGGGATCACGATAGACAGAAATGCCTCCGAGGGTGATTCCTGCAGAGCAGCGTGTGTGTGTGTGTGTGTGTGTGTGTGTGTGTGTGTGTGCGTGTGTGTGTGCGTGTGCAGTTAGTCTTTACCCTTCTGGGCCTCAGTCTCCCCATCTGTCGGATGGGGTGCCCGTCCACCGAGTGACGCTCTGACTCTGGCTTCACAGGTGACCAGTGCCCTGCAGCCGCTGCACCCCTCTGTCCACCACCTGCACTCGGCCAGCGGGGACCCCTCGACCACGGTGTCGCAGCTGCTGCTGGGGCTGCCGTGGCCGGTGCCCGTGGCCAACGTCTCCGCGGCGCTGGACAGCATTGTGAAGCGCGTCTATGAAGTGATCAACGTCCGCGTGCAAGGTGCTGCTTTCCTCCCGTCCGCGGCTCGGCGGCGGGGCGGGGGCGGGGCTGCAGGGAGCAAGACAGCCAGGTGGCGGCCCGTCCCACCTGCACTCGCTCCTTCCGGCCCAAACCAGGTTTAAACTCCGAGCTCCCAAGTGCAGGTTTCGAGAAGGGTTTTGGCCCGACGTTGCCCTTCCCCTGGCTCGCTCCCTCCCCCCGTGTCTCCCCCACACCCGCCCCGGGTCCTGACACCCAAGCGCGGCCAGCAAACCCCAGAACGGATGAACCCCAACTTGTTCCGTCAGCTCTCGCGTCCCTCACCGTCCCTCTGGCCGTTTCCCACCTTCGCCAGGGACGCCCTCCGCCTTGGGAGGCCCGTTGGGTACGGCTGCAAAACCGGAGTAGGTAAAGTGCACAGAGGTGGCCTTGTTTCTGGAAGACATGATCTGGTCCTCTTTGTTTGTGGTGGGGGGGGGGCGGGGTATGTCAGGGGTTGGCCAACATTTTCTGGAAAGGACCACACAGTACATATTTTTGGCTGTGGGCCACACGGCCTCTGTCTCAACAGCTTGGCTCTGCCCTTTGTGGCCTGAGAGCAGCCGTGGGCGCCTCGTGAGCAGAAGGCTGGGCCCCGTGGAACGTTCTTGCCCACCATGGGGTGGGGGAGCAGCTGCATCTGCTGCTCCCCAGCTGTGGGGCGATGGTGCTCTTCCTGGTACAGCTTTTGTGACACCAAGGGTCGAGTGCCAGGGGGGACGTGCCAGGCGAAAGCCCCGGTGATGGCATTTTATCCCCTTCAATATCCATAGATGTTCTTGAAGACGCGCCACGCCGATAGCAGAAGGGCCCGTGTCGTGCGCTCTGACACGGCCCTCGGTCAGAGATCACGGAAGGCACTGTCATGTGCGTCTAGGTCTGTGGCTCCAGGCCGTGAGGTCAGGCACAGAACAGACTCTGGGCCGTCCGTAGGGGGTCGGAGAGAAGCCCCTGGACGACAGTGTGGGGAGAGGCTAAGGGAGAGGGCTTGGTCTAGGCTGGACGCTCTCAGATGCTGAGACTGGGAGTCTCTGGAAATCTCATCTAGAGGGAGGGGAAGGCCAGCACCAAGAGAAGCCATGACTGGTGAAGAGCTAAAGTCACTCATCTGGCCGAGGGAGCGGGGGGTTCCGCGGGGGACTCTGTGGTCCGGGCATTTCCCGTCTGGCTTGGGGAGAATGTGAAGTGGCCTCGCTCTGTCCAACTTTGTCCTGGCTGCTCCAGGATCGAGGGAGGATCCTTGCCTGAGCTGCTGTTCCCAGGGACTGGCTGACGGAGGCCGGTGTCCTGAACGCCAGGAGCAGTGGCTCCATCCTGGCCCAGAAAACTGCCCATGTAGAAAGTTTATTCTTGGGTAGGAGATGGGGGCCCCATCATCCATGACCCTTTGGACTCGACACAGCTCCAAAGCGCCTCTCCCAGGCAGCAGCGGCCGCTGGGGTGCACATGGCCCTCTAGGGAGCTTGTCACGTGCCTGACACGTGGGCCACCTGCTTGGATGGAGGTGCCTGCCCCGTGGGCCCCGGGACTCTCCAAGACAGGGCTCCAGAAGCGACCCAGAGACCCCTCCCCAAGCTTCTTCAGCCCATGGGACACCTATCTGGAGGTTAAGGCAAGTGACGGGGGGTCATGGCTGTGACGAGTGTCCCCCGTATCCTGCTGGTCACTAGATGTCAGTGGGTGCTTGTTAGATGAACTCGATGCCTGCTCAGGAGGGAGCGGTGTTTGAATGTGGACGGCCCGCACCAGTGCGCCCGTCGCCCCAAGCCGCACCTTGTCTGCCCAGAAGCTAAGCCGCACGAATGGGGGTGAGCCTCTGGGCCCTCCCAGCTTGGGGGGGCATGGCAAAAGAAACTTTCCAGGGAGGGTCCGCAGGCCACAACACCTCTCCGGTCTTGCACAGGGGCTGTGGTGGGCTCACGCTCGGGGGAGGGGCAGTATTCTCTAGCGTTCCTGATCTCAGAGCCGGCCGGCTGCCCTTCGATTTAGTGAATGTCCGTTTATGTGCACTGACCTCGCTGGGTGTACGTGCGAATAGGCCCTGGCCTTTGCTTTCTGGAAACTCAGTAGAGAACATGCCAGATGCGAGCCGGGCATGGCACATAGAGAAGATGCCTGTGTAGCTTCTTGTTTAAATCGGGGCCCTTCCGAGTGCAGAGGACGTGATCGACACTTATATGGGCCCACAGCAGTGACCTGAACTGGCCCCGTAATTGCACAGTCAACCCAGGTGGTGCTAGTAAGCAAGTGCCTGGCTCTGGTCCAGGAGGGTCAGGGGGGTGACAGGTGCTGGGACCAGGGTGGGTGACAGGTGCTGCATTGGGTCAGGGGAGGTGACAGGTGCTGTGCTGGGTCAGGGGGGTGGCCAGTGCTGGGTTTTCTAGTAAGAAGTAGCTGTGGGTTGACAGCGCTGTGGAGTCGGTCAGCAGAGAGCTGGGATCCGGGTGGCAGAAGGCGGTGGGGAGAGGTGGGATCAAGGCACCCGTTGAGACAAGCACTTGAGGCTCATGGATTAATTCGATGGAGGGGAAGAAGGGGGATAAGGCAGCATCTGCTGTGCTGGCTAAACCACGAATGGGTGGGGGCCCCTGGGTGAGTCGGGAAAGGCCACGGTTCTTAGCATTGATGGTAGTAGTTTAAATTGAAATGGAGATGACATCGAGGGTCCATGCCAGGTGCTGACCGAGGTGGGTATTTGGTGCGGTAACCCCGAGGGGGCCACGCTGCACATGTAACCGGGGCATCAGCACCCAGATGGCACAATATGGGCATGGTTGGGAGAAGGGATGGGGACTTGGCTGAGGGACCCTGTTATTTTGGAGTCCGTGCTGGAGGAGGTGCTGACAAATAGCCAGGGTGAGGCAGGAAGCATGGCAGGAAAGAAGGATCCGTCCCTCCAGACGTGCACCACGAATACTTGGAGGAGGCGTGGCCTCTCAGGAGACGCCAAAGTGCATTCGTGTGCCGGTGGGGACAGACCCCAGTGCATTCTTGCAGCTTTGGGACCACTTCGAACCTTCCTTCTTAGGGGCCTGCCCTTGGCATGTCTTCTCCCACTCCCCACAGGGCCCCCCCAGCTGGGGACGATGGTCATCTGCAGCTACTCTGCTGTGTGGCTCGGGGTGGGGGCGGGGCACAAGGCCGGCAACCTGCTGGGCTGTCTGCAGGTGGCCAGGCGGCAGGTGCAGGTGCCCAGTGGGCAGCTGGGATGGTGAGTGGGAGACGAGCAGCTGGAACAGCCAGCTTGCATGGAGGGGGTGGTGGGGGTCAGGTCAACCTTCATTTATCCATCCATCCAATCATCCAACCATCCATCCATCCATCCATCCATCCATCATCCATCCGTCATCCATCCAACCATCCATCCATCCATCCATTCATCCATCCATCCATCCATCCATCCAACCAACCATCCAACCATCCATCCATCCATCCATCCATCCATCATCCATCCATCCATCATCCATCCATCCATCCACCCATCCATCCATCCAACCAACCATCCAACCAACCATCCATCCATCCATCCATCCATCCATCCATTCATCCATCCACCCATCCATCCACCCATCCATCCATCATCCATCCATCATCCATCCTTCCAACCATCCAACCATCCGTCCATCCGTCCGTCCATCCATCCGTCCATCCGTCCGTCCATCCGTCCATCCATCCGTCCGTCCATCCAACCATCCGTCCATCCATCCATCCATCCATCCATCCATCCATCATCCATCCTTCCAACCATCCAACCATCCGTCCATCCGTCCGTCCATCCATCCGTCCATCCGTCCGTCCATCTGTCCATCCATCTATCCGTCCGTCCGTCCGTCCGTCCATCCATCCATCCATCCATCCATCCATCCATTTCCATGGGCAACACTCTCTAATGAGTGCCTGCTCTGTGCCAGGTACTGTTCTAATGCGTCCTTCAGTGCCCAGGAGCCCTTGCTCCCTTGGCTCCCATTTCAGTGGGGAAGACGACACAGAGGTGGACAAATAAACACCAAAGGTGGGGAAGTGGTTAGGCCACCAAGACCAAGGAGAGCAATGGGTCAGGTGGGGTCTGGGGGGGCAGTCTCAGGGGCGGCAGCCTCTGGACAGCATGACCTTTGGGCAGAGACCAGAGTGCCGTTGGAAGTGGGCTGGGAAGGGAGGGTGTGTGGCTGACTGACAAACCCCAACGGTGTCGGCATCTTGATCCTGTGATTCTGTCCCTTACCTGGCAGAAAGGACTTTACAGACGGGGTGAGCTAAGGGCCTCGAGGCGGGGGGGATCTTGGATTGTTTATGGGGGCAGAGTCACCACTGGGTCCTCACAGAGGGGGGCAGAGCCGGGGAGAGGAGGCAGTCAGGGGGCTCCCTGTGAGGAGCACAGCCCTGCCCACACCTGCGTCGTAGACTTCCGACCTCGGAGCCGAACGAGTGGGCCTCTCTTGCTGTAGCACTGCTGTTGTGCTCGCTCATTACAGCGGCCCCAGGAAGCCCTGACACGGGGAGAGGCTGGGCCCCAGCGCAGGTGCGCGCACGGCAGAGTCCAGGAACGTGGAGGCCGTGGGGATGGAGCGCGGCGGAGGGGTGGGGGACGAGGGGGCGGGACCTTGTACAAGGTGGTAAGGCCACGGAGAATCTTCATTCTCCTGGAAACTTGTAGACAAGTATCAGCACAAAGAGGAGTGTGATGAAATCCGCTGCTTCCCCTGGGGACCCCCTCTGCTCCCTCTGTCCCGCTCGGCTGCCCACCCCCTGCCCCATTATTCAGAACCCTCTTCACCATGTCGCTTCATCTGTCAGTGTTCCAGGATGTATCTCTAGGGCATGAGGGCAAGAGATTGTTTTAAATTTTTTAAAACGTTCATTTATTTTTGAGGGACACAGAGACACAGAGCATGAGCAGGGGAGGGGCAGAGAGAGAGGGAGACACAGAATCCGAAGCAGCTCCAGGCTCGGAGCTGTCAGTGCAGAGCCTGACGTGGGGCTCGAACCCACAAAGTGTGAGATCATGACCTGAGCTGAAGTTAGATGCTTAACTGACTGAGCCACCCAGGCGTCCCTATTTACTTATTTTAACATTTATTCATTTTTGAGAGACAGAGACAGAGCATGAGGAGAGCACAAGCAGGGGAGGGGCAGAGAGAGGGGGAGACACAGAATATGAAGCAGCTCCAGGCTCCCAGCTGTCAGCACAGAGCCTGACGTGGGGCTCGAACCCACAAACTGTGAGATCATGACCTGAGCCGAAGTCGGACACTTAACTGACAGAGCCCCCCGGCGCCCCTATGCCCTTTCCCCTTTAAAGGGACATCACAGTGGGGTCCCTCCCTCTGCTCATAATAATGACAGGGCCAAGAGCTGCTTCTCACTGTAATAAGCGCTTTATGGTCTCACCTCGTGAACCCTTAGAGCGCCCCCAGGAGGCACCTGGCCCTCTTGCGCTCACTTCCAGAAGAGAAAGTCCAGGTAAGGGAAGGTGATGATTGGTAGGAGGTCCCAGAGCTGGTTCTCACAGACAACCCAGCCCCGTCCATCACCCGGGGCGACCTTCCCTCGCGGCGCTCTGGCTGGAGGGCACAGCTCTGATTTTGGATTTCTGGCTGGAGGGCTCTGCTCCCGACCCAGAGCCACCACGGGGCATCGTCCGGGGACCGCAGCGACACGGCCTGCGTGGCCCAGTGGCCGTGCCCTGTGTGGAGGGTCAGGGGGTGACTAGCATTCTAGGTGGTGGGACTTTTCTCTGCTGATGCAGCGCCTCACTGGGGTGATGATTGAAAGTCCTTGTTTACTGACTCCTCCCGCTCTGCTGTGAGTGAGGGGCGGAGGCTGTGAGCCACCGCGGGGAGGGGGCAGCCCCCAGCAGCCCTTGAGCAGCAGGAGGCGCACAGGCCTCTCCACTGGAACCTTCCACCTGGCGTCAGGTGAAGGTCCGTGGGGCGAGGAGGCTGTCTCCTGGTCACCGCCAATGCGTCCCTGCACTTGGCAAACAGTAGGCACTCAACACAAATTTATTACGAGCGGTGACCATGCCTAGGGTTCCTGGATGTCAAAAAATGCACCTTCCAGCCTCACTTCTGGCAGCAAAACGCTCCCCCGCCGTGCCCCCTGACTTTGGGGTCTGATTCGGCATCAGCACCTCCCTCCACGTGCAAGTGTGCCTGCAAAGCCCTGCACAGAGCCTCCCGCGACCATCCTCTGTCTCCGGGGGAGAACCCCGTGCCCCAGCGAGCATAGACGGGTGGAGTACGGGCACTGAAAATCCTTTGGCCGTAACCCGAGAAGACCGCGGACTCTGTTTACCCGCAGGGATCTTGCCAGCGAAGCTCTGCCACGCTGCTCAACACCATGAGTGACAAGGTTCCCTCGAGATCGGGGCCGCTGGAGAGCGAAACCTAAGTAGGGAAAACTGCACCGCCCTGACCTCCCTTCTCACGGTGGGGGTGGGGGGCGGGGAATGCACACGGCGCTTCCAGATCAGAAACGCAGAGTGAGCCCAGCGGCGCGTTGCTAAGAGAAGCAGCATGTGTTTTCCATTTGGAAGCTAACACACATGAGCAATCTTCTGGAAAGGTTTGGAGGCAGAGACCCATGGAAAATACAGCACGAATCTCAGATGCTGTTCCTGTGACGTTAGTCATCCAGTTAATGATGCTCTGGGCAGCCGGATTCCTGCACCAAACAACAGCCATCAGAAGGAACCTCGCGGTTCCCCACTTGACATTCCAGGAACACGGTCTGTTTTCAGAACCAGGTGGAACTGTGTTCAGGGTCACCCTAACCCCCTCCGACACGGTCTCCTTCCCAGCCGGCGCCTAACGGCTGTTTGGCTCCATAAAGAAACAACTCGAGAACCTGCGGCTTGGCCAGGGCCGGGCTGCCGGCTGGAGAGGCGGCCAGGGCTGGCGGGAAGCAGCCATTCAGGTTCACGGATGCCAACGCTCCTCATCGGCAGGCAGGCTTCCGACAGCTGGGCGCTCAGAACCTCGGCGGAGTCCTCAGCATTTCTACCTTTACAAGGGTCAGGGGTCAAGTTGGCAGGCAGGAGGGGAAAGGGGAACAGAGGCTGACCCGGGAGGTCAGGGACAGGGGGCGTTCCCGGCAGCACCCGATCTGCTTCTCCAGAGATGGGTCAAGGTTGCCCAGAGGAAACGAACTTCCAGACCCAGGGACGCAGGGACTTCGAGACTAATGTCGGGTCCCGGATCTGGCTCACGGCTACAGGATGGGGGAGACCTCAGGGCAGCGGTTCCCTCGGATCGTGCAGAGTTAAGAAGCGGGCATTGTTTTCTAGGGCCACATTTTCAGAGGGACATTGGACAGCCTAGGACAGAGGTGAGGTGTCCTGCTAATGAAAGACAAGAATCCGAATCATTGGGAAGACAGAGGAAAGAGGTGGAAGGACCTTTTCCGTTTAAAATGGCTCCTGGTCTGTCCCATGGAGGTGGGATTAACCTTCGAGCGTGAGAGGTGCAGCAGCGCATGTAAGAAGCTTCCCCCACGCGGGCCTGCCCAGCCGGGAGCTGCCTGGAAAGCAGCTGAAGAAGGGCCCACCCCCTGGGTGGCCGTGACAAAGCGCCACTGGCTAGGTGCCCAAAATCACAGCCTGTGACCCTCTCGCCGATGTGGAGGGCAGGAGTCCGGAATCCGAATCAGCCAGCCCAGGTGAGGGCGTCGGCAGGTGCCTCTCCGGAGGCCCCGGGAGGATCCATGCCGTGACTCTCCCGCTCTGCAGTGGCTCCCCGAGTTCCGTGGCTTGTGGGCACATCATTCCCATCTCTGAGGCCATGTCTTCGGTCTCCCTGTGCTCACTCCTCGTGTGGGCGTGTGTGTATGCGCGTGTGCATGCGTGTGTGTGCGTGTGCGTGTATGCACGTGTGTGTGCGTGTGTGTGTGTGCGTGTGCGCAATCTCCTTCTGATGCTCTCATGTAAGGACTCGGGAAAGCATTTGGCATCAGCCCCTCTAATCCCCCATAATCTTGTCTCCAGATCCTCCACCTGATCTCACCTGCAAAGACCCTTTTCTCTCTCTCTCTCTTTTTTTAAATTTTTTATTGTTTTATTTCTGAGAGACAGAGAGAGACAGCGTGAGCAGGGGAGGGTCAGAGAGAGAGGGAGTCACAGAATCTGAAACAGGCTCCAGGCTCCGAGCTGTCAGCACAGAGCCTGGCGCGGGGCTCGAACCCACAAACCGAGTGATCATGACCTGAGCCGAAGTCGGATGCTTAACTGACTGAGCCCCCCAGTCGGCCCTGCAAAGACCCTTTTCTCAAAGAAGGTAGCATTTCTAGGTGCCGGGCATTAGGACCGGCTGTCTTCGAAGGTCACTGCGGTAAGCCACCCAGCTGGGATGGACAGCAAGTGACCTTTGTCTTTACTTGTTGGACAGCTTTGCCCTTTACTGGCTACTTGACCTTCCCAGGCCTCAGTTTTGTCCTCTGTAACATGGGTCCCTAGTAGAGCCATCGGGTAGTGTCGTTGGGAGAACTGAATGGAAAACCGCCTGGTTGCACACGGCACTCGGCAAATGCGGGCCCTCCCGGCTTCACTGACGGCCGCGTGGCGCACGACCGATGCCATGGGAGGGGGCTCAGGGCGCGCTGTGAGCGCCCCCGCGGCCCCGAGGCCCTGCCGCCGCTGCAGCGCAGGCCACGCTGGCTGGGGCGTTGGGGTGGCGTGTCTGGCGTGGGAACTCAGCGTCGTTTCCATCAGTGTCTGTGGAGAAGCCGAGTGCGCAGCGACGCTCGATAAACGTCGAACCGCACGAAGTTACCGCGGTGGTTGGTCAAAAAGGGGTGAATGTGGACACGTGCAAATAGTTCCGCGTGTTCGAGTGCGGAAAGAGCCACACACATGCTCGCGGCAGCGTTCATTACCCTCGCGGGGAGCCCCCCAGGCCCCCAGACTCTCTCTGCTGCAGGAGCGCTGGGCTCATAGCAGCTCAGAAGGTTTCACACGTGTTCAAAACAGCTGGGTCTGCAGCGCCTTGCCCCGGGGACCTAGGGACCCGCTGGAGTCCTCACCGAAGCGTGGCTGCGTCTCTGGCCGGCCCGGCGCCCTTCCGGACTCTTCCTGAGCCCCATTCATCAGGCGCCACTTCACAGACATAGGGGCAGCCCTTTTCGTTTTAATTCCTTTCAGTGTAGAGGTCTGTCTACACAGGGTGCCTGAGTGGCTAAACACCTGGACGGGGACCGGCCACTCGCTGCCCTGCATCAGGGGTGAGTCCCAAGGGCACCGAGGAGAGGGGGTCACAGCCTCGGGAGCGGCCGGGCGCTCCTGCTCAAACCCTCGGCCTCGGCCTCAGCCCCGCTTCACGGGGGTTTCGTGGTCGCCCACACTGAAGAAAGCGCGTGGCACTGCGTGGCCTGCCTGCGTGGAAACACCCGTGCCCTGAGCAGAGTTTTGGAGAAGACGTGGTGGCCCTTCCTCGCCTCCCCCACGACCCCTTTGTTGCCGAGGTGCACACTGAGCGGCCGCGCTTGTTGGGAGGTTGGGCTGGGGCGTCTTTTTGATCTCAGGGTTGCAGTGACAGGGAGGTGGGGGTGAGGCCCACAGTCTCAGGCCCCAAGGCCTGGCCGCCCCTCGGCCAAAGCACGTCTTCCTTTTCTTGCCACAAAAGAAGCATCAGAAAGGATGAATAACCGCGTCCCCGTCCGTTCGTGAGAAAACACACAGAAAAGGACGCGACAGTTCAGTGAAGAAGACAGAAGCGTCTTCTTCAAGGTACACGCCACCTCCCACGCGCGCGGAGCTGGCAGGAAACAGTGAGCAGTGAGATGGGCGCCGATCGTTACAAGAAGGGCAGGGAGGAAGGGCTGGGCTCGACCGGTGTGAGCGTCCAGTGGTCCAGGGGTTTAGATCCACCTGCTCGGGGGTCCGGTGGGGGCTCGGTGGCGAAGCACACTCACACGGGGTCTGTGACTCGATGACATGGCAAGGCTGAGTGAAGGACGAGAGTGGGGTACGACACTTGATTCTGAGCCTCCTGGAAGCCAAGGCAAAAAGAGAAACGGGCTGAATTGTGCCAGCTTTTGTTTTTGATGGAGAGGAAGCACACGCACTTGTCCAGAAAGACGGAACGTTGTCACACTACTAGAAAGCACGTGTCCTAGGAATCCTTATGTGAAGGGCTTTGGGGGAACTTCAGACACTTTGTGATTATTTTTTCTTTACTTTGGGCTTTCAGAAGATTTTTAAAAAAACTTCATGGCTTGTTTTTTATAGAACTCGGACTCTGATGTAAAACTTAAGGAGGCTAGACTAAGGGCCACGTACTTTTTATAGAATTCCTGTTTCCCAAAGAGAGACCGACTTCTCTGTAGGTCTGTTAACTGGCTGTTACGTTAGTGTATTGTTCCCTGAAGCAGGGATTTCGACAGGGACACATGAGGAGCCCAGCCTGACTGACTCCTGACTCTGGCTTCCCTCCGAGCCGTCGCTTCAGAGCGATGAGCGAGCCCAGCGGAAGTCCTCAGGCCGATGACCACATGCGAGTGAGTCAGGACATGCGGGCCCTTTGAGCGGGGGTCAGACAGCACTTATAAAAGCAGCACAGCGACAGCAGGCCCCGTGCTCGTCGGCGCAGGCAGCCGGAGTAAAGCACCACAGCCCGGGCGGCCTAAACGACAGACACCCATTCCCTCCCAACCCCGGGGGCTGAAGTCCCCGATCCAGGTGCGGACAGCACTGGCACCTCCTGTGGCCTCTCTCCCAGGCGTGTAGACGCCGTCACCCCCCGCCCGCCCCCCCCCGTGTCCTCACGGTGCATGTCTGTGTCCTGACCTCTCTCATCTGAACACCGTTCAGATCGGAGCACGGCCACACTAGTGGCCTCAGTTTACCTTAATTACCTCTGTAAAGACCCGATCTCTGAATACGGTCACATTCGGAGGTGTCGGGGGTTAGGACTCGGGCAGATGACTTTGGGGAGAACTCAGCGCATCCTCTGACGCGCCATCGTGGCCACAGTACGAGCACGTGGGTTGTTTCCGTGCCTCGGCCCTTGTGAATGACGCTGCAATGACCGTGAGGGTGCAGGCGTCTTCTCAAGAGTGTGGTTTCGTTTGCTTTGGACACACGCCCGGAAGCGGGCTCGCCGGGGCACTTCTCGAGGGGCCTCCGTCCTGTTTCCACGGGGGGGCACCCACTGCCCCCAGCAGGGCACGTGCCCGTGGGCCGGCGGGCTCTCTCCCGTCCTTCCGGTACTAGACATGCCGGCCGGCGCGGGGTGGCATCCCTGACGGTCAGTGATGGTGAGCACCTTCCCGTGGGTGCGTGGCCGTCTGCACGTCTGCCTTCGAGACCCTCTGCCCATATTTTCACTGGATCGTGTGGGTGTTTGGCTACCGAGTTGCACGAGTTCTCTATGCACTTTGGAGACTCGCCCCTCCTCAGACACGCGGCTTGTGGATGTTTCCTCCCGTCCTGCGGGCTGACGGCTCCCGTTGCTGCGCAGGAGCGTGTGATCTTAGTCTGACAGAGTCCCACTGGGGTTTTCGCCTTCGTCGCTCTGCTCTGACGTTTCCGGCTCTTCCTCGCCCCCTTCCCCCACAGACTGCCCCCCCATCCGGGATCTCGTGGCCCTTAATGTCACCAGCAGCAGCTTCTGGGTGTCTTGGCGTTTGGAGTCTCCCTGGCCCCGCACTTTCCGCGTGCAGGTTTACAAGGCGGAGGAGCTCGTCCGGAGCGCCAGGACCGCGGAGAGGAGCCTGGAGGTGGCGGGCCTGGAGGCCGGAGCGCTGTACGCGGTGCGGACCAGCTACCAGGCGTGCGGGGCCAGCGTCACGGCCACGCTGGCTGTCAGGACCGGTAAGGGCACGCAGCGCTACGCCTGTTACCTGTGGTCTCCCCTCGCGCCCCTACGCCCCATCTTGTCGGCGGGGCTCACTCTCACACCTGGAGGGATGAGGTCCATGGGGAGCCCCTCCTTCTGGTTTGAAGGACTCAGAAAGCAGTCAGAGTGGGGGGGCATGTAATGCAGCAGAAAGGGTAGCAATTTGCATGCGCCGAAAGACCTTTCCCTGCACCGAATTCTCAGGGCTGAGTCTGTGCGACTCCCCCAAACCACAGCTGATGTCCCCTGAAACCCTCATGGCGCTGCCTCATTTCCCACGTGATGCCCCCGAAAAGCTACTGTGGTGCCCTCTACACGGGAGCCCATTAGATGGGAGTGGTCCACACGGGAGCCCCTACACGGAGCCCCGACGCGGGAGCCTGCTCCATGGGAGCCACAAAGAGGCTTTCTTCCAGCTGAACAAACACGTTCTAGGTGTGAGCTGGGGATTCAGTTCCAACAGGGAGCTGGTGTAGCCCGGGGGGCTCTGCAGGTGGTTGACCTTGCCCCACCCCGTGACTCGATCTCCCCTCAGCCTGGCCCGGCGGTCCCTGGGTGGGGCGGGCCCCCCTCACGTCCAGTATCGGTGGTGGGAGCTGTCTCCTAGGCGGCCACTGGATGTGGAGGTGGGGACGGTAAAGCTCCCTGACACGGAAATCGCTGCCTACAACACCCTGGGGTGGCGGTGGGGGGTCTGTCCCATGTGGGGCTTAGCGCCGGTGACTGTGGTGGTGGACGAATGAGGGATGGAAGGAGCAGACCTCTGATGACATGGGCCTCCACCCTTTGTGAGCCGATTTGGGGCTGGCCCTTGCTAAGTTGTCGTAGCTCATAGAATCGGCACCCAGAGACCCCCCCCTGCCCCCCCGAGCCGCAGCCACAAAAAATGCAAACTTCTGTGCACAAGGCTTCCAATGCCGGAGCCAGGGCCAGCCCACCGTTTTGTCTTATTTTCCACATGCTGCAGGGGTAAGTGCAGGGAGGACTCTGCCCCCGAGGGCCCCCCGGGGTGAGGGCAGGACCCCAGCCCTTCCCATCCCCCCCCCCGCCCCCGTCACTGCTGTCCTTTGCCCTCTGCTTCCTCCCCAACTCCCCTCAGACCAGGCAAGTCATGGAGCAAATCTGTCTCTAGCAGGATGGGCACTGGGAACTTGCCTACCCCCGCCTTCAGGAAAGTTCCAGGGGGCATCTGGGGGGCTTGGTCAGTGGAGCGTCTGACTCTGATTTCAGGATGATCAGGACCATGGGATCAAGCCCAGAGTTGGGCTCTGTGTTGAGTGTGGAGCCTGCTTGAGATTCTTTCTCTCTCCCTCTGCCCTTCCCCCACTCTTGAGCAAGTGTTCCCCCCCCAAAAATGATAAAAAAGAAAAGTTCGGAAAGTTTCCTAAATTGTCAGCTATTGTTTCCCCAGCCTTGATTTTCTTTCCTTCACTGCATTGTAAAATGCCTTTTCTGTGCAGAGCACTCTTTTTATTTATTTATTTTTTTGAGAGACACCGTGCACCTGCATGTGCATATGAGAGAGAGAGAGAGAGAGAGACAGAGAGAGAGAGAGAGAATCCCAAGCAGGTTCCATGCTCAGTGCAGAGCCTGATGCAGGACTTGATCCCACAACTGTGAGATCATGACCTGGGCTGAAACCAAGAGTCGGAGGCTTAACTGACGGAGTCACCGAGCTGCCCCCAAAATGCTCTTTTAAACCTGATTCACGTTAAAGGCTCTATCTCATTCACGTGGCCACATTGGGAGCCAGCCGTGCTGGGAGGTGGAGGGCACTGTTGTGGCAGTGCATACAGAGCCTCCCAGAGAATCCAGGCTCCCCGGGCACAGGAGGGCACTGACCTTCCAGGAGGCTCTGCAGCGTGCCCGGGGTCGAGGCTGATGTCACAGGGACCCCTGTTTCCTCTGAAGATGGGCGAAGGTCCTGAGTGGCCCGGCACGCACAGCTGGTGACATTTCTGGGGCCCTCGCGGTGCGTGCATGCAGCAGTGGGGACCCGCCCCTGGGCCCCGGGCTCGCGGGCTGGGCGAGAGCGGCTGCCAGGCTGGCCGAGAAGCGGCGCCGCCGCAGGGGCTGCCGTGGACGTCGGTTGCATCCTCGGTAATGGAAGAGGCGAGCGGCACCCCAGCCGGTCTTACTTTCCCAGATTTTCTTGTGCCCAAAGAAAAGGCTACGTCCCTTGCCGGGTGACCGTCCCTACTGCTTTGCCTGCGGCAGAGTGTGCTTTTAGGTGGGAATTCGGGGCACAGACCTGGGAAGTCCTGGGTGGACGGGGCCCGTGGGGCATGTCAGTGCTGGGACCCCGGGTGGGGTCCGGCTGAGGACCTGGCTGGCTGGCTGTGCGTGTGTGAACCGGGTGGGAAAGGGGTGCCATGCAGGGTGCGGGATGGCTGCAGGGACCTTCAGAGCCCACGTGCGCCGGCTGAGGGCGGCTCCTGCTGGCGTGGGCTGCCTGTCACATCGCTGCTGTCCTGGCCGTCCCTGTCCTGGTGTAGAAGTGTGTGTGTGTGTGTGTGTGTGTGTGTGTGCACGCGAGCGCACAGAGGTTAACCATCCTCACATCGTGTCCCCAACGCGGCTCCCCAATCCAGGCTGTTTCCATCTGTCACCCAACAAACATCCCCTCAAAGGAAGAGGCTTTCCGGGAGACAGTGACAGCAAAGTTCGCGACTTGCGCTCACCGTGTCACTGCTTTGCAGATGCCTGGCTGTTCCAAGTCACCGTCAGGGTCCTGAACCGCAACGTGACGCACGGGCTTCTCGACCGCAGCAGCGCCGAGTTCCAGGACTTTTCCCGACAACTGCTCCGCGAGGTAAAGCCAAAGAGCCCAGGCGGTGCTCCGTGGGGGCATCCATCCCGACTCCCGCGTGCGCCCGCCCCGACGCGGAGCCCCCTCTCTGCAACAAGGGCACGCTGCCCCAGCCCAGTCCCGCGGAAATTATCCACATGCCCCCACGTCCGTGGCCAAGTAGTCTCTGAAGCCCATGCTTGGATCCAGTGGGCTCTATTGCTTCCTGGTGCAGTTGGCTTTTCTGTGGAACCTTCCATCCGGCAGACCTGGGCGCCTGTCTCCTACTTCGGGGCAGCTTCATTTGGGAGGACTGAGGCAGGGGTGCCTGCACCCGCCCCCCCCCCCCCAGGGCTAACCAGAGACATCAGCCCGCAGCCCACGAGAGCCAGGCCAGTGGTGACCCAATTGGAGAGCAAAAGAACTGTCCGTGGGCTAAGATTTTCCCTTTCCTGCTAACTGGTGACTTAGCCTGTTCTGTTGGGCGGGGCTGGTCCAGGTGTGGGGGTCACAGCACAGGAGGCAGCGTGAGCCTCGGGCTGCTGCCCGGTCCCTCCGGCCTCTGGGGGGACGCACACAGCCGACCGTGTCACAGCTGAGTAGCCCCGAGCTTAGGGAAACTGAGTCTCGTAAGGGGCCGAGTGCAGATCTGCCTAAACATTGCTCTAGAGAGAGAGAGAGACTATCTCTACAGGATCAGACAAGAGCAAGTCTGCCCTTTGTTGTGGGGGGGGCGCTGTCCCCTCCTGGGGTGTCCATCCTACACCCCCATCTTGGAAAGAGACTCTGGAGCCAAAGGCAAAGAGAGCTTTTGCTCGCAGGATGTGTAGACATGGACGGACTGAGGAGGGCGTCCCTCCACATTCACCTGCCTGGAAGCTCTCGCGCGTGCGCGGGCACCGTTGGGGGGTCGGGCAAGGCTGCGGCTCCCTCGCTCGGCCCGCTGGCCCGCACGCCCGGTTGCCTGTGTTTCCCAGTGGACACAGCCAGTGAGGGGGGGGGCCTCTCCAACAGCCGCGGGCCCGCCCCTCCGGGGTCCTTCCTGCCAGTCAGTCTATCCGTCCCCTGCCAGGATCTGTGTGTCTCTCACACACTTTACCCGTACACCCATTTTCCGGTGTGCACGCAGAGTGGATTGTACATCTCATGTTGCGTGATGGGGACCCCGATTGTAAGTGTTTGTCAGGAATCCGCACAAGGCTGACCGGGCTGTCCCTGGGGAGGCCCCACTGGGGTGCCGTAGGCTGGGGTGCCTCTGCTTTGCCCCAAGAGGCTGGTTTCTGGGCACCTCCTCTTGGTCACAAAGGGGACACATGGATTCTGTTCACCATCCATCAGTCTCCCGGGCCCGGATCGATGGTCCTGGCGACTAATGGAAGCTTCTGCTCTTCTCTGCTAGGTTGAAAACTCCTTCCCCCCGGCCGTCTCCGACCTGAACAGGAGAGGGAAGCTGAGTATGCAGATGGTGTCTCTTCAGGCCGGGAGTGTGGTGGTGACGCTCAGGCTGACCGTGCGGGACCCCGAGTCCCCAGTGGGCGTGTCCACGCTGGCCCCCATGCTTCCGCGTCTGCTGGCCAGCACTGTCTTCCAGATCGATCCGCAGGGGACGTTCGTGCAAGGTGAGTTCTTCACGCCCAAGCCTGCGGCCGGGACACCTCAGAGCCCTGGCCATCTGCAAGGTCAGTCGGACACATGACATTGGAATCCGTATTCTGAGTTCCTCCCCGGGACCGGGGAGCCCACCTGGGTCTCACGTCTCCTTACTCCAGGTGGGACGGGGACCCCAGAGCCCAGGGAGCTCACTCCCAGAGATAGCCCGGAACACAGGATGGGTCTGGGCCGGAGGAGCCTCCAGGGGAAGGGCACTGGGGGCTGACTGTGTGTCAGGGCCCAGCACCAACATGGCTGTTTCATTGGCCCAAACGCAAAGTAATGTTATTTGATGTTGCCTTGAGGCAGGAAGTCACAGATCAGAGAGAGAGGGGGTGAGGGGGCAGGGAGGGGAGAGACAGAGTCAGAAATAGGAGTACAATGGAAAGATCCTAAGTGTCCATCAACGGATGAATGGATCAAGAAGATGTGGTTTCTCTATACCATGGAATCCTACATGGCAATGAGAAAGAATGAAATCTGGCCACGTGTAGCAACATGGATGGACGTTGAGGGTGTTATGCTAAGCGACATAAGTCAGGCAGAGAAAGACAGATACCATGTTTTCACTTATAAGTGGATCAGGAGTAACTTAACTGAGGATCATGGGGGAGAAGAAGGGGAAAAATAGTTGGGGAGAGGGAGGGAGGCAAACCATGAGAGACTCTTGAATGTTGAGAACAAACTGAGGGAAGATGGGGGTGGGAGGGAGGGGAAGGGGGTGATGGGCATGGAGGGGGGCACTTGTGGGGATGAGCACTGGGTGTTGTGTGGAAACCAACTTGACAATAAACTATTTGTAAAAAAAAAAAAAAGCAATAGGGTTACAGATGAGAGAGACAGACAGAGATATAGAGATACAGAAACAGAGATATAGACATAGAGACAGAGACAGAGACATAGGTAGAGACAGAGACATGAAGAGACACCGAAAGACAGAAATAGAGAGACAGAGACAGAGAGGCAGAGAGAGCAAGCTGACAGGTGAGGAAGGTCTGGCCCTTCAAGCCCAGGGACGAGGTTCCCTGCAGGAAGGGCGTCTCCGGCCCGTGTCAGGGAGCCTGTCTGGGGCTCCGTCCGTGGAACGGGCGTCTGAGAATGCGCTCTGTCCTTCCTCTGAGCTCAGTGGCATCTGGCTTGCTGTCCAACCTCCCCCTACCCGAGGATGCAGGGAAGGCATGGGACGGTCACATCTAAGGTCACACCCGGAAGGCACTTGCCTGCGCAGCCTGGGGTGGGCTGTCACTCACCCCTCAGGGACGGAGGCGGCTGGCGGGCCTCACCTGGGCTCCGGGGGTGGGGCTGGGTGGGAGGGGAGCGCCCTGCGGGTGGGCCTCAGCCTGCACCCTCGGGCCCTCCCTGAGACCGGATCTGAGCCAGCCCTCCTGTGCCAGCCCTGTCCTGTGCACCAGGCGTCAGGCAATCCCAGAGCTTTACCCGCGTGCTGAATGCTGGGCCTCAAAGATAGGCCCACCCAGAACTTTAGTTGTCGTCTGGAAGAAGGATATTTGCAGATAAAATCAAGGTAAGGATCCGAGACTGTCCTGGATCAGGGGAGGCCCTAAATGAGAAGACACAGAAGAGGAGAGATCCAGAGACACGGTGTGTTTGGGGGGGAGGCCACGCAGAGGTGGAGGCAGAGGCTGGAGCCAAGGAGAGTGTGGAGCCCCAGAACCGGGAAGAGGCAGAGAGGACCCTCCCCCGGAGCCCCAGGGACGGAGGCCCTGCCCCACCCTGATCCTGGACTTCGGCCTCTGAGAGTGACCGAGAATGGACTGTGTAGCCTCCAGCCTGTCGAACTGGGATCCCTAAGGGCAGCCTCAGGCTGTAGAGGAGAGACAGGCGCCCCCATTGCCATCTCAGCAGGTCTCATTAAGGGTCTGCCCCTCAGCTTTCCTGAACGGACAATAGGCTGTTTGCTTAACCCTGGGCCCTGGGCGGTGGCTGTGGGGGCTTCCTGCTTCCGCCCAGCCACGAGGAGGCCTCTGCTGCTTATGGGGGGGGCACCCAGGGGTGCAGGGCCCTCTCACCCAGTGACCGCTGGCTTCTCTCAGGAGAGCCTGCAGGCAGCCCGCACTAGGGGAGGCAGTCCCGCGGTGGGGGGGGGGGAACGGAAGCGCATTCACTGCCACTGCACACAATGCCAGCAAACCAGCCACAGCGCAGCGAGCCCCTGTCCCCACAGCCCACACAGAGCTGTTTCCGCGGGTGTCCTCAGGTCACTCCTGCACGATGCGGGGGGGGGGGTCTCGCCCACCCGAGTCCATGTGTCCCCACGCACAGTGTGGGGGGTCACATTGTCCTGACCCCAGCTCCTCCCTGACGCCCATCTGTTGGGGGGCGGGGGTCACTGGGTGGCCATGTGTCCTTGGTTCCCCTCCAGGAGGGCATGCTCCTCGCCCCGTGTTCCTACGAGCCGCGCCGCCCAGGGGCCTGCTGCCCTGGTCCAAGGTGCCGGGCTGGAGAGGCGGGACCTGGGGGCCTGGCGGCCTGTTCCTGGGCCTCTCCCACCCATTCCTGGGGGTCAGCCCAGGGGGCCACAGCTCCGCAAGGGGTCGTCCCCTCCTCTGGGAGGCGGGTCCAGCTGCAAGGCCAGTAGGAGCAGAGCACAGCCCCGCCCCCCGCTCGGGGCTCCTGCCCGTGTCCTTCTCCGGCTGGTCGGGACGGGACAGAGGCCCCCGCTGCGGGCCTGCCTCCTCCCTCTGAACCGCAGGGCTGCCTGGCCTGGGGCTTTAATATAGGGCACGTGGAGCCGTCCGCGCCTTACTCTGGGCGTGCTTGTGAGCCGCGTGCTGGGTGAATCACCACAAGAGCTCAGTGCTGGGGGCCCAGCCTCCACGGGGACCTGTGTTCTCTGCAGGACCCTGCAGCCTGGCCTGGGCTCCATCCCAGGCCTCCAGCCCCCTCCCCTCCCCCCAAACTCTGTGAGCTGCCTGCAGGCTGGAGGTCTGGCCGGGCTGGGCTGGGCCCCCGGGACCCTGTCTGCCAAGTAGCCCCAGGCCAGGGTGCAGTGTGACTGTTACATCAGCTGACGAGCCTGCTGGTCTCGGGGAGCTGTTTCTGGGAGCTTCTGTGAAGATCACATGAAGCGAAACTGAAAACCGCATCACGAGGGTGGAGCGCTTGGACTACAGACTTTTTCTCTGCACAAAACTGAACTCGTCGTGACTGAAGCCCGAGTCTGGGCTCCCGGGGCGCATCAAGCCTGGATGGGGCGCTTCTGCTTTCGGCTCTAGGGAATCCTGGGCAGAAAGGCCTCGGGAGAGGCCTCTACATGCACCCACCTTGCTGCCTGGCCCACCCTGGTGGGTGCCCGGGCCCATTCCTCTGGAGGAGGCACCTCTGCTCAGAGCCAGCTGCCCCCCTGGGGCTGGGAGGGCGAGCGGTGGTCTGAAGGACGGATTCTGGGGCGTGGGAATCCTGCCCCCCTCCCCCAGCCTGGAATACAGCTTGGGATGTTTATTCCTTGAGGTTTATCCTGAGTATCACATGTAACACTTTATCCTCAGTCACATGTCAAATGCACGAGGCCAGCAGGTGTTTCCTTCGCCCAAGTATGAGTGGGGGTAGCAGCCCCGGGGGTGGGGGGGGAGGGAAGGGAATGTGGGCCCCACGCACCTTGATTCACAGTTTGGTTAACTCTGGTCCTGGAAAGTGCCAGGCTGTGGTGGGCGGGCAAGCCCTGGGGGGCCCCGGGGGGCTGACCCGCTTACCTAACATGCTTCCTTGCTCAGCTCAGAAGGGCCAGGGCCTCCCAGTGACATGGTGTCTTTGGGATTCTCTGACTGCTTTCCCCGGCTGGGGATGAGTGTTCAAAGGCTGTGTCACCGAAAGTTCATGTGACACTTAACCAGACTCCCCCTGGCTTGGTTATTTCTCTTTGTTAAAGTACTATCACATTAGGCGATGTTGGCACATCAGAGAGGAGGGAAGGCGTCCTGCTTTCTGGGGAATGAAGAGTTCGGGAGAGAAGAATATACCCACACGGGTGGGCGCTAACAGCCCCAAAACAGACCAGCGTTCCCTAACTTCTGCCTCCACATCAGCCCGCAGGCAGCGAAGTCCGGAGCAGGCACCTGCTGAGCCTGCCCCCTGGGTTCAGGGACAGGCTTCTGGGGACGGGCCTGTGCACAGCCTCCCTCTGGGGCCTCCGGGTGCCCAGGGCGCTCCACTGACTCCCGGCCTCGCCCCTCCCACGGGTTGCTGCAGAGACGGTCGGGAAGAGCAGTGCTGTTTCCTAAGTGCCCCCTGGCCGCCTCTCACCACTCTGCCCCGTTCCTCTCCTGCCTGGCAGACTGGGACGAATGTGCAGACAGCCTGGGGCACGACTGCTCACCCGCTGCCCAGTGCATCAACGTCGAGGGCTCCTACACCTGCCGGTGCCGGACGGCCAGGGACGCCAACCCCTCCCGCGCGGGCCGGGCCTGTGAGGGTGCGCCCCCCACCCCCTGCCCCCGCAGCTCGGGCCCACGCCCCCTACCCTGGGGACCTGATATCCCTCGTCCTTTCCAATATCCACTGGCCGCTGTCCGCATTCTTCCCGTATTCATGTCACGTCTGACGATGGTGACCAGCACCAAGCCCCACACTGAGCCCAGATCCAGAGCAATCTCCCATTTTCCCAAAGGCCGAATGGGCGCACGAACCAGGCCCTGCACTTACGTCCCGGCCGTGCCACCGTGCAGGTGGGGCCTCACTCTTGGTGCCTCAGAGCCTCATTTGTCAGATGGAGAGGGCCCGTGTCACCCCCGGAAAGCACACGGGGGCCGCGGATGTGGGCCCCGTAAACACTCATAATCCCGTAATCCCCACTTGGGGCCCACCGGGGAGGCTCTCGCTGGTGGGTGGCATCTGGGGGCTTTTGTTTAGATGCTTTGGGGCCAGATGTCTCCTCTAAGAGTGGCCGTGTCTTGCAGGTGATGTGGTGAGCCCCACGGGAGCGCTGCCGGCTGTAACATCAGGCGTCAGGGCCCCAGCTCTCGGCACAGAGAGCCCCGCCCTGTGGGCCAGCCCGGGTCACGCATGGACCCAGACCCCGGGGCCCCCGCCCAGGCGAGGCGGCAGCCGCCTGGTCGGGAAGGACGGGAACAGCACAGGGCAAGGCATGGAGGAGGGAGCAGCCAGCGTGGCCCCAGGCCTGGTGACGGGCCAGGGGGCGGCCAGCACGGCCCCCGGGACAACGCACGGCTACCCTTCTGGGCCCCTGAATGGCTCTCTGGGCGCCCCTGGACCGTTATCGAGAAACTCCAGCACGGAGCCGCCGCTCTGGCCTGGTCCTACGCAGGGCCCCACAGACCACATCGCCTGGCACACCCGTCCCCCGACCTGGGACACGGCACCGGCAGCTCTGGGCCCCACTGGGCCACAGAGCTCGGACCCTGGACCCTCCACATCCCCCGACCTGCCTTCGGTCCCCACCCCCGAGTCTTCAAAGCTTCCGGCCTGTGGTGAGTGTCCTGGGGACACGTGGCCTGAGGACTGAGCACACTGGGGACGAGGGGGGTCCGGCTGGCAAAGCCCAGGACACTGAGGCAAAGCCCTGTGAGAAACACGCAGGTGGATTGCTCGTGGGAGGTGGGGCTGGGCCAGGAGGGGTGCAGCGCAGCCTGTCCCCGGTGGCGGCAGCTTCTGCTCTTGTTAGGATGGGGCCGTGCTTCCTCCGGTCCTCGCTCCTTCCCGTTCCCAAGCCTCCCTGTCACGCGCGGCCGGAGCAGGACGATGATGAGCCCTGGGGGCGCGTGTATCGCACTAAGCCCTGTGGCACAGCTCTCAGCAGTGCTGGACACCCCTGCGGTTGCACGCCCCCCCCCACCCGCCCGGCAGCGCAGTACCCCTGAGCCCAGTGCAGCCCCGAGCCCCACCACGTCCACTCACACCACGCAGAGCACTTAGCCGTTGCCAAGGTCCTGGGGCAGCGCGGTAGGAGACAGGCTGCAGCCCCATGCAGGAAAGGGGCCGGGCCGCGGTCTCTCCGTTCGGAGACCAAGGAGATCTCTGTGGGCTCCCCGAGCGGGCCCGGCCCTGGGCTGCATCCAAATCGAACTGTTAGATGGAGCCCGATGGAAGTGTCTCCTCCACTCAGGGGTGTGGCTGCTCGACTTCTAAGCCCTAGTAAGCCGGCACTGCGGGCGCCCCGGGGTCGCCTGTCAGAATGGCTCTGCCGCCAGCAGTGGCCGCCTCTGCTGGCCCCTCTGTGAGTCTGCCCAGGGGTGGAGGCGTAACCCCTCCGGGGAAGCCACCAGAGTCTGCACAACAGGCTTGCTTTGGGGAAAACCAGGGACCTCGGTGGCAGAGAGAAAAACAAAGCAGAGGCAGGACAGAGAGCTGGCCAGGGCGCCGGGGCTCAGGACGGCCGTCCGGGGCCCCTGCACCACGTGCTCTGCCCGGAGGAGGGGCCCTGTAGGACCCCCCGGGCTGGCGTCCCGTGAGGCCCTCTCGTGTCCCCAAGGGTGGTTTGATTTTAGCGTCTGGTGAGGCTTCTCCCGCCCAGTCTCCCTGGAGCATCGGGCTGATTTCAATCTTCCCCGCCTTTGCATCCACTTCCCAGTTCCCGTCCCCATCGAACGGGTCATGGTGTCTGACGTGACCAGCACCAGCTTTCGCGTGGCGTGGGCGGCGGAGCTCGGCCCGCACCCCGCCTTCCAGCTCACGCTGCTCTCCCCGCGGAGCCCCGCCGTGCGCCTGGAGACCCGGAACGCAAGCCTGACGCTGTCGGGCCTGGAGCCTGGCGCCCTGCACCTGGTGGAGATAGCGGCCAAAGCATGCGGGGACAGCGCCAGGGCCCGCCTCAGGGTCAGGACCGGTAGGTGACGGGTCTCGGGAACCCTGGCCGCGGCACCTTCATGGAGGGAGGGAAAACGTGTGAGAACGATTTTTAGTGGGTCGAGGCTTGAAAGCGCTGGCTCTTTGCCCTGATCAGCCCTGGAAGCCTGGCTGGGCTCGCTCGGGGCTGGCCCTCGGAGGTCAGCCTGGGGGAGGCGGCTCGGCTCAAGGAGAGGCTGGGGCAGGCTGCACGGAGGGCTCGGGACTCTGCCCGCCGAGCACAGCCGCTGCTGCCCGTGTCCCCGCGGGTCTGCGGCAGGAGAATGCACGGACCGAGCGCCGGGCACGTGCTCTGACGTTCCCGCTCTCAGCTCACCTGCCCTTACTTGGCTTGTAGGGACGACAGGCGGATAGGGGGACGTCCGACCTCGGACTGTGCTCGTGACAGTCATGTGTGCAGATAAATCTTGTTTCTCCTCCTTCACACTCGATGTTTTCCTGAACGTCTAACTTGCTCGGACGGCCCAGGGCCGGCTGGAGGTTGCAGACAGAGCCTCAGATCTCGGGCCACCATCCAAGGGCTGATGGCCGTGTTCCCCAAGGTGGGGTGCGCAGCCCTTGGGGCGTCCGTGAGAAAAGTGTAGAGCGTCTGTCTGCCTACTTGGAAGTTCCGATTAGCAAGGACCAGGGAGTCAGGGGGTAGACGGTGCGCAGGGACGCATGCGCCGAGCTGGAGAAGGGGCGGTCAGTGCCTCTGAGAGCCAGTCCTCTGCGGGTCTCGCCTGCCGGCGGGAGAGGCCACCGGGGGCGTGTGACCCGTGCCAGGGTGGGTCCATGTCCGTTCTCACCTGTGTCTGGTCCGTCCCGCTCCCGGGGCTTTCCCACCAGGCTGTCCGCCCCAGCTGCTGTGTGTGGCCCGGTGGCCCTCAGCCACGGCGACGGGAGAGATCAGGGCGAGGTTTGGGGGTCAGCCAGCAGTGAGTCCTGGGATGGCTTTGTGGTTTGTGGGCGCAAAGGAACCTTGGCCTTTTCCTCCACTGCCTGGAAGGCTGGGCACATAGCAAGAACCTCACAGACATCTGGGGAAAGAGTGAACGAGGCGGCTGCCATGCCGGACGCCAGGATGTGGTCCGGGCAATATTCCTGGACTATATTCTTGTCCCACAGCCTCCTGGAGGCCCCGCATGGAGGGAACAGACTTGGATGGAACAGACCAGTGCAAAAGCAGGGACTGCCCTGAACTTGCAGAGAAACAGTTCCCTAGGAAACAGTGGTCTAGGGGGAGGGGGAAGAGGGCTGAGTTGTGGGTGCTGAGCAGAGGCAAGGCCACCCTGTCCTGGCTTCCCTGGACGGCCAGTTGTGCACCTGCGGCCCCGGCAGAATTAACCAACAGCGACTTCTTTCACTCTCAGAGTGGGCCCTACTGGCGAGTCACCTGGACACCTTGTGCACTGAGAGTGAGGAGAGTGGGAGGGGCTGGCCCGGTTCTGCAGCCTCCGGAAGGTTCTCTCCCTGAGCCCAGGCTGTGTGCCGGCATCCTCTGGGGTTGGCGGAACTTGTCTGTGTGTGCTGGGCACTGTCAGCCTCAACCCAATGTTCTTTCTGGCCGACAAGAAAGTGCCATTATTAGGATATGTCACCCGATGCATTGCCTAACGCACTTAGCGTTACCTAATGCGTTACCACTCCAGACGTGTTTCTTCTCTGTCCCTCAGTGGCCCAGAAACTCAGAGGGAACGTCAGAATAGCCAACGTCAGGTACGTGGAGTCCTTCCGGAACGCGAGCAGCAGGGAGTATCAGGACTTCCTAGAGGTGTTCTTTCGGGCGGTAAGTTGGTGAAACCAGTTTCTATTTCCTTTTGGGATGTGCAGGAGGGAGGTGGGTGGAATCCCAATCCCACTGAGCAGGACTTTGACTTGCAGGTGCCTGGGACCCTCATTTCTGAAGGAAGATGGGCTTCTGGTTCCGGCGTGGTGCCTGGCACCCCCGGGTCTACCATTAGATGCAAGAGTAGCTGGGAGTGACCTTGTCCTCTGCTGCGTCCTCATTACAGAGGAGCCAGGACAGCTCACTCGAGCACAGGGGAGGGGCCGAGAGAGAGAGGGAGTCCCAAGCTGACAGGCAGAGCCCAATGCGGGGCACGATCCCGCGGCCCTGAGATCATGACCTGAGCCGAAATCCAGAGTCAGACACCAAGTGAGGCACCCAGGCGCCCCACAAGGAAAATTAACAAACTGAGATCGATTTCACAAATTCTAAAATGCACACGTTAAGAGTGCTTAGTGCAATGGTTTAGATTTTATTCGTGGAATTGCACAGCCGTCATCACTAAGTCCAGAACATTTCTTTCACCCCCAAAAGAAGCCCCTCTCCCATTCCTGGTGACTCTCCACGCCCCATCCCTGCAACCACTAATGTGCTCTCCGTGCCTGTGGGTGTGCCTGCCGTGGGCATCTCACATTGCGGAATCGCACCGGACATGACATTTTGTGTCTGGCTTATTCCTCTGAGCATGCCTTCGGGGTCCAGCCATAGCTCACTGCTCTTTCCGGCTGGATAGTCCTTCCCGGAATGGAGAGCCCACGTTTAGGTCTCTGATCCACATTAGGTTGTGTCCCCTCTGGCCAATGTGAATAATGCTGCTATGATTTTTCCTAATCTTTCTGATGCTTCCCCTGTGGCCCCACTGACATACCTTGAGCCGGTGTATTTGTTACGATTCAGGCTGGGGGGCGATCTCCGTGTTCTCTCCGCTGGAGGTTAGGTTCCCCTTAGACGAGAAGAGGATGCACTTGTCGAATCTTGTCTTGTTTACACAGTGGGCACCTCGTCCACTTCAGCCGCTCCTGACCCTGGGCTTTAAGACAGAGCAGTGCCACCTCCAGACGGAGTGTGCTAACGCGATAGCACCGTGTGACTGGCTCTGTTCTCTGGCCTAGAAAATGGGTCTCTGCGCCCCCAGGGAGTGTCACACGGGGACTCCTCGGGATCTGGGTTCTGCCTGATTTATCCCAGGGTCCCCGGCTCCCGGCCCAGTGGGTGGATCCGAGAGTTGTTGATGGCTCGAGTCACCACTGTCTTCTTTAGGTTCTGTGATAGTCACACATGACACTAAGCAACTGCCCTGACCATCAGTCGCGGGGCTCTGGCGGTCCCCGGGGCAGCCGCATCTCCATTCACATGTCTGGGGTCGTTCTTCCTCTTCAAACCATTTCCTCCCTCGCCTATGGCTGGGGACCGCTGCTGATTTGTCTAGAATTTCAGGATGGCCAGTAATGGCACAGTTATCACATATGCAGGACTTTCAGGCAAACTCAGGGAGGTGTGGATTAACACACTTCTTAGCAAGGGGCCCTGGAGCTTTGCTTTGAGACTGGTCGGAAATGCAACAACCCAAAGTGACTTTAAGCCAAGCCTGTGGCAGACCCTCTCTGGATGTCCCGGGGAGAGAGAGAGAGAGAGTCAGTCAGCCATTCCAGCGGTGATGATGGTGCCCAAGTGACAGCACACTTGTCACATTGGCCGTCCCCATGCTGGGAAGTGAACCCACGAGCCTGTGCCTTGAGCCACGCCCCCTGGCTGGCTCCAGATGAGGCTGGGCCCTGGAAGTGTGCTTTTTCAAGAAGGCCTGTGTCTTGGGGACCACTTACAGCCCTTCTAAGGTGGTGTGTCTCTCTGGGCGTTTGGGCTGCAAGGGGCTGGGATAGAATGCCTCAGCCCATGGTGTAGGAGCCCATCCAACGGGGCAGTATCAGCAGTAAAAGGATTGTTCTAGAAGATACAGTGGGAGAGAGGGGCTCCGCATGACCGCTTGTGCAGCCTGTGCCCTCCATGGCTCTGAGCTGAGGGGAGCAGATTCTAAAACCGTCACGAGTCCCCCGTGAGTGATGTTCCCTCCCCCCCCCCCACCGGGTAGGGATAGTGTGTCTTGTCCAGACTGACCGGCAAAGGTGCTCTGGGGGAGCGAGGCTCTTCCTGGGACCTCAGGACCCAGACCCACAGGCACTGGTGTGGGCTTGGGACACGGCTCGGTCCGCCGGACTGGGGCCAGAGCTGACCTCCGTGCTGCGGGTCAGAATTCCCAGGAAGCGCCCCCTGGGGACGGGCACTTGACTCCTGACAGCGGGCGGCCCTGTCACACGTGGTTTCTGTAAAGGTGCGGGGTTCCTTGCCGGCCACCATGCTGCGGCACCTGGACGCCGGGGGGGTCCGGGTGGAGGTGACCCGCATCGCCAACGGCAGCGTCGTGGTCGAGTTTAACCTGCTGATCATCGCAGAGGTGGACATCCACGAGGTGTCTGCCGCGTTCCTTGTCGCCTTCCGGAACGCCTCTCTGCTGGAGGTGGTCGGCGAGGACACCTTCATACAGGGTAGGTGGAGGCCAGGCCCCCCAGAGAGCCCAGCCCGTGGGGCTCCTGGGGCCCCCCTGCAGGTGGAAGTATGGAACACACAGGACCCCATCTGTCTTATTGCTGCTGTGCTGTTTCTGAAGTTTTCAGGGCCCCAAACATCTCGGGGTGAAGCCATGCACCCGTCCGGGGACGCTGCTGCCCACCCTGGGCCTCCTCTGCCACCCACATCCCCTGGGCCGGGGGCAGACATGTCCTCTCTGCAGCCACACTGCCCCCCAAGTACAGTTTCCAAGGAGAGCTGGAGAAAAATCATTGAAAAGAAAAGCAATTTAGATTCTCCTTTCTTTTTTTTTTTTTTTTAAATATTTTTATTATATTTCTAGGAGAGAGAGAGAGAGAGACAGCGTGAGCAGGGGAGGGTCAGAGAGAGAGGGAGACACAGACTCTGAAACAGGCTCCAGGCTCTGAGCTGGCAGTCAGCACAGAGCCCGACGCGGGGCTCGAACCCACAAACTGCGAGATCATGACCTGAGCTAAAGTCGGACGCTTAACCGACTAAGCCACCCGGGCGCCCCTAGATTCTCCTCTCCAAGTCGCATCGTCGGCCTGAGCTGCCGTAGCCAGATGCAGGCCTGGAGACGCTTAAACGACAGGAGTGTGTGTCCCCACAGTTCTGGAGGCGCGAGGTCCAGGGTAGATTACAAGGGGGGGTGCTCTCCCTGACGCGGGGACAGCCGCCTCCCGGCTCTGTCCTCCCCACGTGTGTGTGTGTGTGTGTGTGTGTGTGTGTGTGTTCCTGGTGCTGCTTCTTAGAGCAAGGCCCCCAGGCTGAGCGCCTTCTGCGGGATGGCCTGCGGGGGGCGCCCCCGGGTCCGGGGCGAGAGGTCGGGGTGGGGGGCCTGCTGTGTCGTCTCCACAGCCCCTCTCAGCCCCGGCACCGGGGCCCCTCCTTCTGGAGCGGTCCCAGCAGATGTCCTGACCAGCTCTCGTCCCCGCCCCAGCTGGGAACTGGGTGCCACCCTGCCCCCCGAACCGCCCACTACGCTGCCACTCCGTGATTTCCGGCCCTGCTGCCTGAGATGACGTCCCCCCAGGGCGTGTGTGACAGCCGGCGCGGAAGCACCCCTCACCCGCCCCCTCAGGCCCCGTGACAGTGTCTGCCTTGTTTCTGATGTCGCACAGATTACGACGAATGTGACGGCCGGGAGCACGACTGTGAGCCAGGCGCGTCCTGTCACAACACCCTGGGCTCCTTCACCTGCATCTGCACGGGCGGTGCCCCCCACTTCCCTGTGGAATTTTCTGGAAGACCCTGTGAACGTGAGGGCCCATAATCCCTTTTCCCGAGATAGCGTTGGGTAATCTGTTATTGACAGACTTTCATTCACCAAGTGTTTCTTTTCCGGACGAGGTCGGTTTTTATGCCCCGGACGTTTTTCTAACTTGTGTGTGTCTGTGTGCTCGTGCATGTGTGTGCACACGCACGTGTCCCTTCACATTCTCCATGCGTCCCAGACGCCTCTCTCCGAGCGCCCATGATGGGAAAACGCCTTGGTTACAGTGAAGTCCGCCACGTTCTCTCGGGTTCTAAAGGATGACCGTGCAAAGCGCACAGCCCACGTGAGAAGAGACACGGGAGAAATGTCTCTACTTGGGCCCTCCTCCCACCCAGGACTTTTCCCATTAAATGGGGGCCCAGAGGATTCAGTGTTGACGCTGAGGGGATCCCTGCCAGCCAGGGATCTGCAGTCAAGTGGTGCAAGACAGACATTTATACAAGTGAACGCTTGTCCCCAAGAATATGGAATGTGCTCTGCTGGAGGTCGAAGCAGGGGGCTCACAGGGACTAAGTTGTTGCAGCCCCATGAGTGTGGTCAGGGAGGGCTTCCTGGAAGAGGTGTCTTAGAGGCATTCTTCGAGGGCAGCTAGGACAGCACAGGGTGGTGGGGGCTGCAGTGGGGCCGGGTGTGCTGGGTGTGCCCGGTGAGAACACGGCTCCTCGTGGTGGTCTCGGCCCAGGTGCACAGTCCGGGCTAGCTGCAGTGCGGGCTCCCGCCAGAGCCGGCGGGAGAGGGCGGGACGCTGGCTGCCAAGACGCGGGAGGCCAGTCGAGAAGGCACGAAAGCCACGAGCAGGCGCTGGACTGCATCTTGGAGATGAGGGAGCTCAGTGAGGGGGCAGAACAGTGGGTGAGCCCCACCTCGAGATAATAGAAGGGAGGTGCCAAGGAGCGGGGTGGGGAACCCTGGACAGCTTACAGATGTCAGCCAGCGGATATCTCTCGGGAAAAGTACTCCGTTTTTCAACGGAGGTGGAAACCATGCTTTGGGGGAAGCAGGAAGCAGGAAGCAGGAAGCAGAAGCAGGAAGCAGGAAGCAGGAAGCAGAAGCTAGGGGCTCAGGATCCTGACAGTAACCACCACAGAGAGGAGACGGCTCATCACAGCAAGTCCACGGGCTCGCCCGCACCCGGCGTCCGCCTGGGAGAGTCTGGGAGGCAGAGGGCACCCGGGTCCCCCGGCCCACGGGACCCCCTCCGAGCCACGTCAGGCCCGGCTGTTGGGCTGCCGGCAGGAACGCGCCACAGCGGCCCGTGTGCGGCTGTGGCTGGGACGTGCGGTCCAGGCGGCCGCTGGGGTCCCTGTCTGCCCCTCCGTGCGGGTCTCACAGGCCGGGCTCAGGTGGCTGTCCCTGAACACAGACCCTTGGTTTCACCTCCTTGTGCTTTGCAGGCGACTCTCCCGGAAACACAACCCAGGCCCCCGGCCCCGAGCAGGTCCCCACCCCGGCGGGGACCGCGGTTGCCGCTGTGCCAGGTGCCAGCCCGGGGCCCCAGGGCCTGCCCCGGCGGCTGAACCTGACCGAGGCGGTCAGGGTGCTCTGCGAGGTTGAGAAGGTGGCCATCGCCATCCAGAGGCGCTTCCTGCAGCAGGAGTCCATCCCCGAGTCCTCCCTGTACCTGGGACACCCATCCTGCAACGTGAGCGACCACAACAGCACGCACGTGCTCCTGGTGGCTGGGTGGAGCGAGTGTGGAACCGTCGTGCAAAGCGTAAGGGCCGGGGGCCAGGCTCAGGAGGCACACAGGGCGGGGTGGGGGCTGGGTGTGGGGGACAGGGCATCGAGGACCAGGAGCACCCTATGGGGAGGGACCCGGGAAGACTGCACCCCAAGTCCTCTGATTCTAAGTGGGAGACCCCTTAGGGGGACAGGATAGGGCAAGTCCTCACGAGGGACCAGACTGTGCCCTAGAATCAGGAGGGAGTTTGGGGCTCTCCCCTGTGAGATTCTGGTGCAAAGGCCCTGTGGTGGGCTTCAGGGTTTAAATCACTCCCAGTGATTCTGAAACACAGCAGATGGAGGGCCAGTGCGAGAGGAAGGCAGGAGAGCTAAGTGTGTTAACACAGGTGTCCAGGTGTGCCAACGTGTGAGAATGTGCATGCGTGCATATGTGTGTGAGTGTGATTGTAAATGTGTGTGAATGTGTGTGCGTGTGTGAGTGTGCATGCTGGGCAGGTGGGCTGGTGTGATCAGAACGACCCGGCCAGAGGGACTGTGGTACTATTAGGATTTGTCTTTACCTCAGTATTTTTTTTTTCTTTTTAATGTTTTTATTTATTTTTGAGAGACAGAGAGACAGCACAAGCAGGGGAGGGGCAGAGAGAGAGGGAGACACAGAATCTGAAGCAGCTCCAGGCTCTGAGCTGTTGGCACAGAGCCCGACGCAGGGCTCGAACTCATGAACTGTGAGATCATGACCTGAGCAGAGGTCAGTGGCTTACCCGACTGAGCCCCCCAGGGGCCCCCACTGCAGTCTTTGAGGGGCCGCAGGCTGTCCCTCTGCTGGCACAGAGGGGGGCCCACTTGGGGGGTGGGGCTGCCCAGCTGGAGGCACTCTGAGCCCATGTGAGCCTCTCTGGTCTGCAGCACCCCCCAGTTTAACCAACGGGAACTAGAGGCTCAGCAAGGTCAATGTGGGAGTCAAGGTCAAGGTCACCCTGCCTCCAGGGACCAGCCCTACAGCCTCTGTGACTCTGCCTTTCTGGGGGCCATACGGGGTATAAGGAAGGCAGGGGCCCTCGGATGCTTCTGGTGGGAGCCTGGGCCTTGCTCCCGGTGGGGACACTTGGGCCCCGGGCACCTGCAGGGGCTGAGCTTGCAGATGGTGCGAGAGCCGCAGGCACAGGGAGGCGACATGAGGAGCCGATTCCCTGCTGCGCAGGGGGCACAGATGCGGGCAGCGTGTCTGAGCAGGGCACTGTCCCCGGGGAGGGGAGGCAGGGGCTCCAGAGGCTGGCGAGAGACACGGTGGGAGGCTTCTCAGGGGAGAGTCTGGGCCAGAGGAGAAGTGGGGTGCGGGTGGAGCCGGCTGTGAGGTGTGGGCCTGCCTAGGGCGGGGGCCGGGGCTGCGGGGGCAGCGGGGACACGTGGGGGGCGGGGGCCGGGGCTACGGGGGCAGCGGGGACACAGGGGGGTGGGGGCCGGGGCTGCCGGGGCAGCGGGGACACGGGGGGGGCGGGGGCCGAGGCTGCGCGGCTGTGCGGTCAGTGTGCGCGCGGCTGTGCGGGAGCCCTTGCGCGGGGAGCCCGCTTGCCGCTCTCCAGCATGACCCCAGCCTCCCTGGGCGCCCTCGGACCCCCTCTGGGATGAAGGAGCGCTCCGGAGACCTCTGCCAGCCCCCTGCAGCCAGCACAACCTAAACATAGCGGGACTTTGCCTCTCAAGCACCCCAGACAGTCGCGTGGAGGTGCACTTCGCTGGGAGGGGGGACAGCTCCTCGGCGACCTCGGGTCTGAGCCCCAAAGTCTGTGCGCACAGGCTAGAGGGGCGGCAAGGGCAGAGGCTGTCGGGTCCAGGTCAGAGCCCCGCAGGCTTGCAGAAGCGGAGGGTCTGTGGGGGCGGGGCCTCCTGCGATGGGCGTGGCCCCGGGGGCGTGGCTGCGCGTGGGCTCTGGGCCTTTGCTTTGGGAGGGGGGAACAGGCCCCTGATGCAGCTCCTCCGTTCAGTAGGGTTCAGGGCCCGTTCAGAGCAGGGGAAATTCATCTCCAATAGTCACCCCTGCCCTTGATGTTTTTTGACGTTTGTTGAAAACTAAAATTTCTTCCAGGGCTTACTTACACAAATACAGTGGAGTGCGTACAGTTAGCAAGTTCTGCCTCCTGATTTTGGTTAAGCAGTTTAAGAATTCAAGCCTCTTTTTATTTATTATTTATTTTTTATTAATTTTTAAATGTTTATTTATTTTTGAGAGAGAGAGAGTCAAGAGTGTGAACAGGAGGGGCACAGAGAGAGGGAGACACAGAATCCAAAGCCAACTCCGGGTTCTTAGCTGTCAGCACAGAGCCCGACGCGGGACTTGAACCCATGAACCGTGAGATCATGACCTGAGCTGAAGTCGAAGTCAGAGGCTTAGTTGATGGAGTCCCCTAGTACCCCAGGCAGTTTAACTTTTATTGAACTCCTCAGTTTTTGGAAGAAGTTGAATTTGAGGCCTCCCTGGCAAGTTTGATGTGCTGTATACGGATTGCACAGGAGAAGGCCCTGAAGAGACACAAATATACGCCCCAGAAGATTCAGCAGCGTCTGGAATCATCTTCATAAACACTTCCAAAGTCCTCATGGAGACGGCAGGGGGCTGTCCAGGTTGTCTGTGGCACTTTTCAAAATGATTCTTTCCTTTTTAAGTTTATTTATTTATTTTGAGACAGAGAGAGAGTGTAGTGGAGGCACAGAGAGAGAGAATTCTAAGCACACTATACTGTCAGCGCAGAGCCCGACGCAAGGCTCAAACCCACAAACTGTGAGATAACGACCTGACTGAGCCTCCCAGGTGCCCCACAAAGTGATTTTCAAAGGCTCTGAATGTATGCTGTCACTGTCGTGAGCTGACACTCTGGACTGGAGGCCTGGAGCACAGCCCATCAGAGACTTGATGTTGTGTCTGTTATGACATTGCACGTACCGAAGGAGCTGCGGCTTCTTCGCTGGAAAAAGCCACAGGGCCTACAAACATCATGTAGACAAGTTCTCCAAAATACGGAGACAGAGATACAAGCAAACATGGGGACAGGTATTAATTACAAGTTTCGGTGCTTCCATTTTGGATACTTGGATCGAGAACCAACCAAGTTTGCTCTCAGAAGTGGAACATCTCCCGTCTCTACTACAGAAAATGAATTCCAAGAATTAATGTGGCTTCCAATAGTTCTAATTTCACTATTTATATAAAAACCTAGAGAGACCAGCAATTTCCAGTGGCTTCCGATATAAGCTAATGCCCCTTTGCTGCGGTCAGCTTACCAGCATCTGCCCCGCTCTGTTTCATACACACACAAGGGAAACACACATGCTGTAATTTCTTACAAAGCAGCAGGGAAGAAGTGGATGTAGGAGCCAGAGGAGCAAAGGAACGTTCAGAACATCTTCCCTGCAGTGGCTTTCAGTCCAGGACCATCTGAAAGCAGTCACTTCCCCTCACGCTCCCGCAAGCGTGGCCCCTCCTGCGACCCAGTGGCGCCGGGGTCTGGTTGGCCGCTGGATTCCGTGTCTCCGTCGGATTCATGGGTCCCATTCATACTGCTAGGCTCTGAATTTCTAATTTTCAGCCAACGCTGCCCTGGCAGCCTTACCGTGGCCCCATGCCCTGTTGTGCGGCTCACAGGGGCTCTACCCTGTTGCCTTCACTAAGACCCGGCGCTCCCGGCTGGGTGGATATGTGTCCCCGTGGATGCTCATCAACACATCCCCAGAGGCATCACCCCTTGCTTCCCCCGCATGCATGGTCTGGCTTGTCTATTTCACACAGATGCCCTTGTCTCTTGGCTACTTCTAAACTGCTAAAGTTGGTGACTTTAGCAGAAGCCGGGGGACACCCGCCCCTCCCCATCAGCCATGAACAATCCGCAGCTGACCTTGGCTGGCCCTGTGCTAGTGACAATGTAGGAGGTGTCCGTGAGGGGCTGCCCATCTTGGAAAGCCCACCACCATGCCAATCAAACTCCAAGCCACAAGCCAGCAAAGTCCTGGGAACAAGTGTAACTTGAAGCATTCTGTCAATCAAAGGCTTGGGCTTCAGTACAACCGTGGTGGTTTTTCACAGAAATTCTTGTCCACCTCGGATTCTCCGGCTCTGGTTCAGGCCCTGGAGAAATTCTGGAACTCTCGTGTTCCATCTGAGTGCACATCTTCATGCCCTGGTGCACTGCTGTATGGAGGTCTGTCCTGCTAAACTTCTGCACCACGAGCAACTAGTCTTCACGCCAGGCTTTGTCTATGGGCTTCCCTTCCTGTGTGTGAACCGGGCTCAGCGTTTTCCCTGGGGGTCAGGTGGAGAGCCTGCTCACACTCCTGGGGTCCCCGCCACAATGATGTTCACTGTCTGGAGGCTGCCCTCTGGCCCCTGGGCTCCTCGTCATCCCCTCCCCTCCAGACGATGGCACCCAGAGAGAATGCTGGTGGTGCAGACTTTAACCAACTGATTTTAGCTCCATTTCCTCAGGGAGCACCTTGTGGTCTTATTTTCAGGAATGCACTTGGGGAGTAATTTGGGGGAGGAATCCGATCGATTATTGGGGTATCGGCTGACCCGGCTTGTCTCTGGTTCTCTTCCAGTGAGGAAAATGGGCGTGGGACACAGGCTAAACCAGGGGTCAGGATGTCACTCTCTCTTTGGCATTTGATGTTAGGAAAAGATTGTCGGGTTTTCTTGTTTTGGGGACAAGCTTTAGAGGAGAGCCACCCCTCCCCCAGCACCCCAGAGCCACAGTCCGCAGCCATGTTGGGGGCCCGCTGGGGGCCGGGAGTGCACTGACAGCCTGTCTGTGTTCAGAACATGACGAATACGGTGGTGAGGACCACGCTGAGGAACGACCTGTCCCCTGAGGGCATCATCCACCACCTGAAGATCCTGAGCCCCATCCACTGTGCTTTCCAGAATGACCTCCTGACATCGTCGGGCTACACCCCAGAGTGGGGGTGAGTGGAGGCATCTTTCCCCCCTCCCCCAGTTCACTGTCCTCTCTAGCACCTTCACTTTGGGTTTCTTAGGGTTTTAATCACGTGAGGACCCTTTGGTGAGACTGAACATAGAAACGGGCAGTGGCCAGGTCTTGGTTTGTGACTCCCAGCTCCCCTAAGATTTGTCCTCATTTCCAGCTAAGGACCAACCAAAGAAAGCCAGATATGCACCCTAGCCAATCCCATAGGGCGCCGGGTCCTAGTGAGCCCGTCCACGGCTGCCGCATCACGTGCCTCCACCGGGCTGCCTGGGGCCTCCCTTTCCCCCTCTGAGGATGCCCCTCCTCTGTCTGTCCTTGAGTCTCCTCCAAACTCAAGTCAGGGGGTGACACACCTCGTCAGGCAGCTTAGAATCGATAGCCTCCCCTTGCCTGTTCTCCTCTGGGTGGTCTTCCTTTTTTTCCATACTTCTTTGGAGTTGGTGTTTGGGGAGCATAGGGAAGCGGTGGGGTCACAGAAGCACACCTCCTGAAACCACTCTCTCTTACAGGGTCTATGCCATCATCGAGGACCTCCATGGCGCTGGCAATTTTGTCACCTAAATGCAGTTGTTTATTGGGGACTCCCCTATACCGCAAAATTACAGTGTGTCTGCCAGTGATGACGTCAAGATCGAAGTGGGGCTCTGTGAGCAGAAAAGCAACCTCAAGGTGGTCCTGACCGAGTGCTGGGCGACGCCATCCAGCAACGCGAGGGACCCGGTCACGTTCGGTTTCATCAACAACAGGCAGGTGTCGGATGCAGCCTGGCTCCCAGACACGCAGGGATATAGGAGCCTGTCCCTGGGGGACGGGAGGGTGGTGGTCCTCCCTACCATGGGTGATGTGTGGACACGGTGTGTGTGGTCAGGGGTGCTGCCGGAAGCCCATCTGGGACCGGGACAGGAGGCTGGCTCGTAACTAATGAGCCACGGTTCCTTCCTTCCCAGCTGCCCCATCCCCAACACGCACACGAACGTGATCAAGAATGGGGATTCCAGCAAGGCCCAATTTAAGCTGAAAATCTTCTCTTTCATCAACAACTCCATTGTTTACCTGCACTGCCGGCTTCGTATTTGCATGGACTCCCCAGGAACCACATGCAAAATAGTAGGTGTTTTACTTCTCTAACCTTGTGTCTGACTCGTGCCCCTGATCACTCTGAGGAGGGCCACTCTATAATCTGAATCCCAGGCCTTGGGCAGCTCTGGGGCCTGACCTCTAGGAGCAGACTCCGCACAAGTGTAAAATGAGGCATGAATGGTGGGCAGCCCATCCCATCCCATCCCATCCCATCCCATCCCATCCCATCCCATCCCATCCCATCCCCATATCCATCCCATCCCACCCCACCCCATCCCATCCCACCCCACCCCATCCCCATATCCATCCCATCCCACCCCATCCCATCCCCCTCCCATCCCATCCCCATCCCATCCCCATATCCATCCCATCCCACCCCATCCCCAACCC